CGTTTTTGTAATTTATTAAAAGTTGACTTTTCGACATTACAATTTTTAAATTGTCTACTTTACGAATTTTTTTATTATCGACATTTTTCACGTTTTGACTTATTTTTCAGTGTTAGCTAATTTTTTGTAATTCATATACAACATATATTTTTTATAAAATTTTAATGCGTTCAATTTAATAATTATTCGAATCACACTGCTAAAAAGCGAAGGATACACCGGCACAGGTTTACAAATGAAAAATCTTAAGTCTTTGATTCTAGACTGATTTTAGCAAAACAAATCAGATTTTTATTATTTTTTTATATCGACTTTTCCCGACTTATCGACTTCTTTCGACTTTTCCTACGGGATAGTCGACATACCGACTTTTTGAACAAAATAGTCCACTTATGAATAATTTTGAAAAACAAAGTTGATATTAAAAAGGTTAAAAAAGTCGACAATTTTGAAATATTTAACTTTTCATAAATTTAAACACGAAATGTCCACTTTCTTTGCAAATAATTTTAGAAATATTCCCTGAAAATGTATTATATATATAAAATATATAGATATGTACAATTTACAGAAAATTTTCGCTAAATTTATGGAATTTTACAATATAAAATTAATTTGTTTTTATTTAAGCAAGTTTTTTTTTATCTAATAATAAGCCGCTCATTGAAATTTGGCCTGTGTAAAACTTTGCTCAACGTTCGATGTATATGCTTCGCCTCAGATATTTTGTGTTTACGCGCCTAAATTCGAATTCACTGCTTTTACTTCAAACACTTCAAACGAAAAAGTGTTTGTAGCAAACACGAGATACGAAAAATAAATTGCTGTTTGACAAACCAAAGTTTCCTAGGTCGTCAAACCAATGTATTTAAATGGGACATCAAACAAAATCTGTTTGAAGGAAAAATTCTGCAATTTTTTGCGCGCAGTTGCATGTTTTCGCGCCAATATTTAGCAAATTCTTCTTTTATCATCTTGTGCATTTTACAAACATTTTGAGTTTGTAACAAACGCAGAACGTGTTAAATTTGGAAATTTTTTGAATTCTTTTAAGAAAATTATAAAATATATATAATTTGGAAATAACATTAATTGTTTATTGAAGAGTATAAAAGTATTTTTAGTATTTTACTAAAAATATTGATAGATTTGGCCTGTTGTTTGTGAGATCTAGAAGAATATTAAAAAATGTAAGTACATTACATGTTAAATAATTAATTGTTTGTCTCTTATATTAGAGAAAGAAAGAGGAGGCATCATGAGGGTCTCGTGGAAGAAGTCCCACTCTCTTGGAGAGTGGCAATTGTATACCTCCTTAGGAGGTATATGTCCTCCTAGGAGGACATGCCAATGTTGAAATAAATAGTCACCCCCTAGGGTGTGGTGGTCGGTCGGCTAGTGGTGACATGGTATATTATCACCTAGAGGCAATGGAAGGAAGCTGATTGCCGTATTCAGGGGGTCTCCTTGGGATACATACTTATTATTATACCATTGATCTCAGAATCACTACCATACACCCATAATAGAGCGCGATGTCTGTCAGGTGTGCCTTTCAGTGAAGCTCTTGTTGTCTCCAAACACTATGGTGGCCGAATATTTACAAGAAACAATTGTTAAGCCGCCTTTTATACAAATTTATAGCTTTGTAGAGAATGTCTTCACGGACCTAGAGGATATAACCTGGCTAGGTATGTAGATGTTGTTTGGGCAAAATATTGGTACTAACCATTGTGGGCTTTATGTCGACTTTAGATCCCTTATAGTTGTCACACTATACCAAATAAGCATTCTTGCTGGAATTAAAGTTTGAAACAAGTTTAATTCCAGTCAAACATTCAAATTTCAAGTGTTGAAATACACTTTCATTACGCTTTAATTCAACAGCATTCTCCAGTGAAAAGGAAACTTGAATTCAAGTCGAACACTACAATGTTTTTACAGTAATTCAATGCACGAAATCTATGTACATCGTATATAAAATTCTAACGTTCTAACTGACTGATTCATCATCGTAGAGCCTAAACGGTTGAAGCTAAAGAGCTGAAATTTGGGCAGGATGTTAGTCTCCCCCCAAATGTATCCAATAAGACGGGATTTTTGGAAATTCGAATTTTTTGGGGGTTAAAAAAGGGTAAAAACGTAAATTCGGTAACCTCAAATCTCCTAAACTAGAAAAGTTACAAAAACTGTTGATGCTTATCGTCGTTCATTTAAAAAAAAGCGGACAGGTGTCCGGTAATTTCTTCAAATTCGGCCCCTTTGGGGAATAAACGGGTAGAAGTAATTTGGTACTTCTTGGTATCTTTTAAACCAGAGAACATTCAAAAAATATTTTTGAATCCATAACTTTACGAACAAATAAAAATATGAATTTAGTACTTTTTGTATATTCGGACGTTCAAGGGGTGAAAATTGTACCTATTTTTGGTACTTTTTTATAAAAAATTGTTTTTGGTTTATTAACTTATACATATGAATATATAATAACGGGCTCCCAATACGATGTTGCAACTGGTACTTTTTTGACTTAGAACTTAGAAACATGTAATTAAGCACTTGAGAATCTATAAAAGTGGACTTTTTGGTACTTTTTCGTTCTTCAAAAGGTACTTTTTGAGTTTTCTATTAAATTGAACATAGAAACATGAAATTATGCACGTAGAGCCTGGAGTAAATGAGAATCTATAAAATGGGAACTGTATCGACTGGTACTTTTTGAGTTTTCCATAAAATTAAACCTAGAAACATAAAAATAAATATGTAGAGCCAGGAGTAAATTATAATCTATAAAAAGGGACTTTTTAGTACTTTTTCGTTCTTCGACTGGTACTTTTTGAATTTTTTATAATATTGAACCTAGAAACATGAAATTAAGAATGTACAGCCCGGATTAAGTGATAACATGTAAAAGGGGACATTTTGGTACTGTTTCGTTCTTCGACTGGTACTTTTTGAATTTTTTATAATATTGAACCTAGAAACATGAAATTAGGAATGTACAGCCCGGATTAAGTGATAACATATAAAAGGGGACTTTTTGGTACTTTTTCGTTCTTCAAAAGGTATTTTTTGAATTTTCTATAATATTGAACCTATAGACATAAAATTAAACCTGTAGGGCATGGAGAGTAAGTGAGAACATATAAAACGGTTCTTTTTGGAACTTTTTCGTTCTTCAACTGGTTCTATTTGAATTTTCTATTATAATGAACCTAAAAACACAAAACTAAGCAATCAGAGACTTGAGTGAATGAAAATTTAAAATGGAGTATTTCTGGTAATTTTTCGTTCTTTAACTGGTACTTTTTGAATTTTCTAAAATATTGAATATATAAACATAAAATTAAACACGCAGTATCCTAATTGAACGAAAATTTATCTCGCTTACATCCATTTTGCAAAAAGCTCTCGATGTCAATCGAAATCTCTATAGGCCATAATTGACCCTGCCCCCTTCAATAATTGATTTTAACGTTTTCTATTCACTTATCAATACCATAATAAAACAATTTTTGTTGGAACGAAAATATGTAATGTAAATATGTATGTATATGAAATCTTCTTCAGAAAATGACTTAAACGCACATAAATGGCTTTTAAATTTCGATGTCTACGAAAAAAATATTTTTAGGAACCGAAACCTACATTTATGAAAAATAAAATTATGAGGATCGGTCCGCCAATATAACCCTCTTACAGAAAATCAATTTATAGCTAATACATCATTCCAAAAGTTATCATTATGATAGAATTATGGTAGAATTAAAAACAATACTTTAAATTATAGAGAACTTTGTCCATAATTGATCCAATTCCACATTTAAGCCCCTAATCCGAAAATCACGGTGACGTTACGACATATGATTTACCAAATATAACTCTTACTTCTTACTTATTTTAATCATAAATTACCGCTAAAATAGGAGTTGCGAGTTTTCATACACTCTAATAATGTTTTCAAAGTGAAACTTTTGGAATATTTTTCAATCTCTTTGTGATCCCTTTAAATGATGTTGTTCTGGAAGAACTTTAACATCCATGTAAACATTTTGGGTAATAAATTGGGGACTACCAATGAGGGGAGCGGAACCTCCCATATGAATTAAATACAAAAATTAGTTTATCTGGGAAACTAATAGAACTAAATTCTTAAAATTTTGCACGAAGAACTTTAATATTCATCTGAACATTTTGGAGAAAAAAGGGCGGACTTTCATCTGGGGGGCTTGAATTAAATAGAAAAATTCGTATATCTGTGAAACTATTAGAGCTAGAATCTTCAAATTTTACTGAAGAACATTTAGAGAATAACGGGCGGACTTTCAATGGGGGGCTTGGCACTTCCCATATGAATTTAATACAAAATTTAGTATATCTGGGAAGCTATTAGATTATTAAAATTTTTCATAGATTAAATTAAAATCTTAATTAACGTTCGGAATAATTGGCGAAATTGCAATAATTTGCGTGGAATCTCCCATATGTAACAAATTGTATATCTAGAATCATCAAAATCGTTAAGTGGGTTTTTTATTTATATTGCTTTTAGGGTAGCACAGCACACTGGGTATAGCTAGTAAATAAACAAATAAAAAATCTTTGTTTTTACGTTATTGATCATTTTCTTAATGCAAAATTTTTTAGAAACTGATTTTCTGCAATTTTTTTTATATGGAGGATAGGGTTAAATATCGGTAGATCCTAGTAAAACTTGGAGAAAGGATTTGTTTTTAATTTTTACGAATTTTTTATTCATCCCTGCATAATTTCTCACACAACTTTTGAGTTTGCTCTGTTTTGTTGTTATAAACAATATATTTGCTTCCAAAATCCCACTTTCTGATCTCTCGGATTCCGTTTTTATTTAAAATCGTAGAAAAATTAAAAACTAAACGTAGTTGAAAACTTAGCCGGCTTACAGTCGATTTTAAGCCGCCGCCGACATATTTAGTGTTAGTAGCCGCCGCCGTTAATATTTGTCGGCGCAGGGCTCTGTTACTGACACTACGAATGAGCAAAGAATTGAATGTCAAAATAGCTTGGTTTTTTTCAGACAACAAAAAATATTGTAGATATTTGCAGTAAACGGTATAGAAAATATTTTGTTGAGAAAATTAATTAATTGAAAAAAAGTAATAATAAAATGATTCTCTGTGGAAATGTATTTTTGGATGAATTGAAGGATACATTTATTCTATGCTGTGTATTGTGCAAAAAGAAATCTCGGCGTTACAATGATTTTACAAGTCACGTAAAAGCGAAGCATAAAGAACTCAATGAAAAGGGAGCTGCACCATCACGGCAGATTGTAAGAAAAATTAAAGATGAAGACGATAGTGATGACGATGAAGACGAATGCCAAGACGAGAATGAAGAACAAAAGCCAGATGTTGAAGTTAAGGATGAAATGGATGTTGATCCACACGAGGAGTTTATTGATGATATTAAGTATGACGTTCAGGAAATTGAGGTAAGTGCGCAAACGATGATCTAAGAAGGTTATTACAATGTTTTTGTTTTGTTGTGTTTTTAGCCTTTTATTGACCCTATATTGGCTTTAGAGGAAAAGGAGAGTGCAGATGCAACAGATGTATTGGATGCTTTAGATTCAGATGTAAAGGATGAAGATTATATGGCTGATGAACTAGATAATGATGATTCTGATGACGAAGATTATCGTGATGAGGACAATGATAATGCCGCAGATTCCGAGTCCGATGATAACGAACTTCCAATATCCACAGACAAAGTATGATTTATGCGTAATATTTTAAAAATATCTTTGAAATTATAGGATTTTCTTTTTTTTAGTTTACTCCAACATTTTATCGTAAAAAACGACATGTAAACGATTTCATTGAATTGTACAAAAGCCAACCTGTTCTGTGGGATATTAATGATCCTTTATTTGAAAATCCAAAAGCACAAAAAGAAGCCGAACAGGCCATTATAAATGGCATGCAGAAGTTCAATATATTCCTGAAGCCAACTGGATTAAAATCAGCAATAAACCAGATACACAAATATTGTGTCATAATTAAATCTGATTTGGACAATGGTGATACCAAAAAAGTTACATCTATTGCAAAAGGTTATTATGAGAAATGTGATTTTCTGAAAGATCTGCTAGCTAAAAAGGCCATACCAGAAGGAGATAAACAGAACGTAAGTAAAATTTCAATTGAAAATAATACGCAGTGATAGAAATTTGATTAAATGCCTTTATTTCTATTAAGATTGTAATATTTTGCCAAAATTTTACAAAATTATTCGATCTGATTCCACTACTATTTTATTCAGGATATCTTGTATATGTATAAATATATTTTTTTAATGAAAGATACAGTTCACTTCTGATTTATGTTAAAATTCTACAAGTTTTTTTTATAAAATTTTTGAATTTTATCGAATGTTCAAATTTAAATTTTTAAGAAAAAATCTAATTTTTTTGATTAAAACAATTTTTTGTGATAATTTGAATTTTTAAAGAAAATTTAAATTTTTTGAATGTTTCGGTGAAAATTTTATATTTTTTATGTGAAACTTTTAATTTTTGAAAAAATATTGATTTTTAGAGAAAATTAAAAATTTAGTGAAATTTAAAATTTTTTCTAATAAAATACGAATTTTTAGAGAAATTAAATATATTTATTTAATAAAATTCGAATTATAAGTGAAGTCAAGTTTTTAGTAAAAAATTGAATTGTTATCGATTATAAAAAAACGTTATGTTTCTATTATTGTTGGAAGAAAGAATTAGTACAACAATCTCACCTTTACAAGATTGATCTAAAAACAAGAAAAAGTACTTTTTGGCAAACATTTATTAAAGGTTTATTACATGAATTTTGTATGAAAAATAGCTCACAAATATAACAAGGGTTTTTTACTTCTGTAAAAAATTAAAATTTCGTATTTGATTTTTTTGTGAATAAAACTTAAAAATTCCTTTCTTTCAGTATTCAATTAAACTGTATAAACTGTTAGAAAGCATAGTTTGTAATTGCAGGTAACGATTAGTGAGACTAACCTTTAGAAAGGTTATTGTATTCTAAGTAAACATATAGCATTAGAAGGACACATCATTTTAAAATATGACGAATTTGTTTAAGTTTGGCAAAATATTCATAAAATATGTGTAAAGCATCTTAATTAATTTTTACTCACTTTATATTTAAATGTACAAATTGAAATTGACAATACAAATCAAATATCGTACACTATTACGCTTTTTTCAATGATCCCAGTGAAATGTATTTCGTTTGTGAAAAACGCGAAATTGCGCTGGAGCGATGAAATGAAGTGATTCTATTTTTTAAAATTTCATTTTATCAATCCATTATGTTTATGTAGTTGTTTGCGGCGACAAGCGATTGTAATAGTGAAAAATAATTGTTGTATTTTTTGTTTCTTTATTTTCTTAAAACAAAAAAGTGTCCATTAATATTCAAGCAATGGGATGAAAATACTTCTAACTTCATCGAAACATACGCAAGATTTTCGGTCCTCTACAATACAAAACATCAATTATTTAATAGTGCTGAAGCGAGGCATAAAGCTCTATCCGATCTAAGCCAAACATTATTAAGTGAATACAATATAGATTTTAGCAAAGAAGTCTTGTCAAATGCCATTGAACAATTCCAATCTTGGTATTACGATACGAAACGGCGTAAAGGAAACCGGTATAAACTAACAAGTAGTATCGAAGATAAATATTTGAAATTGTGCAAATTCATGCCTTCGAAACAATTGAAACTGAGGCAAAGGATGATTTGTGAATTGTGTAATACACTCTTTTATACGGAACACAACTTAAAGCTACATCTGTATAAAGCTCACCAAATAGGAGAACTACCATTCGAGTGTGATCAATGTGGAAAAAAATTCGACTCAAAATTGTATTTGAGAGTTCACGTACTTCGCGTACACGTTGGCAAGCAGTTTCCCTGTGAATATTGTGGCAGAAAGTTTGCCATAATGCCAGAACTGAACACTCATATCAAGATTCACACAGCTGAAAAGCCTCACGTATGTGAGCAATGTGGCAAATCATTTAGGTTAAAAACTCAATTGGGCTATCATGTTACAGCGATACACACTAATATTCGCGCTTTCAAATGTACCATGTGTCCCAAGGACTTTAAAAAGAAGCGCGACCTAACTGATCACATCAAGTCGCATTTAAATATACGCGACAAGATTTGCGAGACATGTGGTAAAGGATTTTCCAATTGTCATTCCTTGATTCGTCACCGCCAAATACATTCGGCGGTGAAGAAGTACGAATGCAAATTGTGCGATGCCAAATTTCATCAGTTTGTTGGTCTTAACGGTCACATGAAACGCACTCACAATATCGTGAAAAAGAAAGATCCATAAATATTTATTATAATTATAGCAGTTTAACAATAACCTAATCTAACATACACACATACATACTTTTAATTATAAATTAATAAAAAATAAATACATACGATTTGTACAGCAAAATAAAAACAGAATGCAAAGTATTTTCTTCATATTTTTAATTATTAAATTGTTTGATTGATTATCACACTTTCTCTCCAATTGTGAAGCATCCATCCCATTGTTTTGTTGTCGTTTTTGAGTATTTTCTCAACACGGTGGTTCTATAATTTAAATCTCAATTTCAAGAACTTTGAACTGCACTGTTCAACTGTTATTGCTTCACGCAAATAGCGTTTGATTCTTTTAATCGCCATTCATATTTTGAAAATAATGCTAAATAATTGTTTTATTTTTGTTGTCTTTATTTCTTCTTTAAACAAAACAGAAACCATTAACGCTCAAACAATGGGATGACAATACTTCGAAATTCATCGATGCTTACGCAAAATTCCCCCTTCTATACGACGGAGAGCATCCATTGTATGGTAATTTCGAGGAAGTACAAAAAGCTAATAACGATCTAACAAATGCACTTTTAACTGAACATAATATCGATTTTAAAGAAGAAACACTGTCCTCGGCAATAAATCAGTTGCATTCTTGGTATTACGATGCCAAGCAGCGCAAGGGAAAACAAAATAGATTGAAAAAGGACGAAGAGGAATATTTCAAAAAGTGTAACTTTTTACCAGCAAGACGTTTAAAAACGAAATTTTATTGTCATGTTTGTAAGAAAAACTTCAAAATGGAACACAATCTAAAGGGTCATCTCTTTAGATATCATCAGATAGGCGACCTACCCTTCCAATGCGAGCAATGTGGAAAGAAATTTGAAATCAAATCCACACTGCAAACACACATTCAAAGAATGCACGTCAGTAGAAAATTCCCGTGCGGTTTCTGTGGAAAACTCTTTGCCATAAAATCGGAGCTAAAAGTTCACAACATGGTTCATACGGCGGAAAAGCCACATGTCTGCGAACTATGCGGAAAAGCTTTTAGAATAAAAACTCAATTACGCTACCATGTGACTGCAATACACACCAAGATTCGTGCCTATAAATGCACTATGTGTCCCAAGGATTTCCTTAAGAAGCGCGACTTGACCGATCACATCAAAACGCACCTAAATATACGCGACAAGATATGCGAAACGTGTGGAAAGGGCTTTTCGAACAGTCATTCGTTAATTAGACATCGTCAGATACATTCGGAAGTAAAGCGATATGCCTGCAAATTATGTGATGCTAAATTTCACCAGTTTGTTGGTCTAAACGGTCATATGAAACGTACGCATAATATTGTAAAAAAAGATTCATAATCGAATGAAATTTCATTGTAAAAAATACACTTATCAACTAAAATAAAGACGTATATTCATAATAAATAATTATCCAATAAGAAGAGTAATAATTGCATTTTAATCGTTACATTTGGTTTAACATTTTAATAATCAATCTCCCCTCATATTTAATCTAGTCTTTACTTATTTTTTTTAAATGTCGTTTTAAGTTATTATATATTCTTTAAAATCAGCAATTATTTTACAACTATTATTTCCTTTTATTGTCTTTATTTTCCTTAATAAAAAAACAGGAACTTAATAAAAAACAGGAACGTAACAAGAACCGGGAACAGAACCAAAATCTATTAAATTTTAAAAAGTTGGATGGGAACACATTAATGTTCATAGATACTTATGAAAAATTTCCTCAACTATATGATGGAAATCATCCTTTGTACGAAAATGTTGAAGAAAAATTGAAATCTTTAACTGAATTTGCAGATCAACTTTTACTCTATAATGGTTTAAATTTCTCAATTCAAAATCTATCTATCGCCATCAGACAATTACAGTCGTGGTATTATCATTCTAAGACACGCAACGAAAACCAAAAGAAAAAATTAAATGACCACGAAATGGAATACTTCAGAAAATGTTCATTTTTCCCTCCAAAGCGCCTAATTGATAAATACTTTTGCACAATTTGTAAACAACAATTTACTTTGAAAAGTAGTTTGGACGGCCATCTCTTCAGACACCATCAAATCGGCGATTTGTCCTTTGAGTGCGATAAATGTGGCAGAAAATATGCACAAAAAAATATACTTCGAGAGCATGTGCAACGAATGCACGGCAGCAAAGAATTTTCCTGCGGTTTCTGTGGAAAACTCTTTGCCATAAAATCGGAGCTAAAAGTTCACACTATGGTACATACGGCTGAAAAGCCACATGTATGCGAACTGTGCGGAAAAGCTTTTAGAATAAAGACTCAACTACGCTACCATGTGACAGCAATACACACCAAGATTCGTGCCTATAAATGCACCATGTGTCCCAAGGATTTCCTTAAGAAGCGTGACTTGACCGATCACATTAAAACGCACTTAAATATCCGGGACAAGGTATGCGAAACGTGTGGAAAGGGCTTTTCGAATAACCATTCGTTAATACGACATCGTCAGATACATTCGGAAGTAAAGCGATATGCCTGCAAATTATGCGATGCTAAATATCACCAGTTTGTTGGCCTAAACAGTCACATGAAACGTACGCATAACATTGTAAAAAAAGATTCATTTTCGAATGAAATTTCATTGTAAAATTATACTTCTTAATTAAAATAAAGACGAATATAATTAAATACTTTACCACAAGAATAATTGCATTTTAGTCGTTAAATTGGTATAATATTTTAATAATCTTCCCTCCCTCATATTGTCGAATAGAAATTTTCCTTTTTTTATAAAAATGCCGTTTTAAGTTCTTCTATTCATACAAATTCCATAATCATTTTACAATTATTGTTTCCTTTTATTGTCTTTATTTTCCTTAATAAAAACACAGGAACTGAACAAAAACCTATTAAATTTTAAAAAGTTGGATGGAAATACTTTTAGTTTCATAGAGACTTATGAAAAATTTCCACAACTATATGATGGATATCATCCGTTATTCGGAAATATTGAGGAAAAATTAAAATCTCTAACTGAATTTGCGGATCAACTTTTACTAGATAACGGGTTAAATCTCTCAATTGAACGTCTTTCCAATGCCATCAGACAATTACAGTCCTGGTATTATCATTCCAAAACACGCAACGAGAACCAAAAGAGAAAATTAAATAACCACGAAATGGAATACTTCAGAAAATGTTCGTTTCTTCCGCCGAAGCGCCAAATTGATAAATACTTTTGCACCATTTGTAAAAAAATATTTAATTTAAAAAGTAGTTTGGACGGGCATCTCTTCAGATACCATCAAATCGGCGATTTGTCCTTTAAGTGCGATGAGTGTGGTAAAAAGTTCTCACAAAAAACTATACTACAACAGCACGTACAACGAATGCACGCCAGCAGAAAATATCGCTGCGAATTTTGCGACAAACTATTTGCCACAAAATCGGAACAAAATTTTCACACCAGAATACACACGGACGAAAAGCCACATGTCTGTGAATTTTGTGGCAAATCGTTTAGAATTAAAACTCAATTGGGTTATCATGTCACCGCTGTCCACACGAAAATACGTGCCCACAAATGTACAATGTGTCCCAAGGATTTCCTAACAAAACGTGATCTGACGGATCACATTAAAGCTCATTTGAATATACGTGACAAGATATGTGAAACTTGTGGCAAGGGGTTTTCGAATAACCATTCATTTAGACGACATCGTCAAATACATTCGGATATCAAAAGATATGAGTGTAAATTGTGCGACGAGAAGTTCAATCAATTAATAAGTCTACACAGACATAAAAAACGTATTCACAAGGATGTAAAAAGAAGTTCTGAGAAAAGCAAATAAATTTTGAAAAATTTAAATTAATTACTTTACTAAATAGCTGCAAAGATACATATGCACTTATGAATGAACATGTACAATGTAACCGTAATTTACAAATAAAAATGATTAAAGCAAAAATAATATAGAATGTGTGGAATTTTTGGTATTACTGTATGTATAGCTTAGTATGTTCATATTATGTTAAATGGTGCAGATTAACCATTAATTTATAGGTTAATTTTTAATGTTTAATTACTCTTTGAGTGAATGACATTTGGAAAGACTTTTCCAAACAATAAAAGCAATAAATGACATTAGCACCTTTACACGACAATTGGCCAACGATTGCCAACTTAGCGATAGATATTTGTTAACAATATGTCGAAAGATTTTCCTAAGAATAGAACTCACAGTGCAATGCCGCGATAGTGCTACACAAAATTGCAACAAAACTTGGGGAAAACATGGGAATCTACTAGATGACTTTAACAATATTCCAATATGTATCATCAAAATTTCATCAACTTGTTGACTGTTTATTATTAGAGAAAATAATGAAATTTATTTTACCACTATTAAGGAAATGGAAATATACAATTTTATTTGAACAAATAAATCATTGTGTTTCTTTTAATTTCAAAACGGTTGAATAACCACTTTGTTCGCTTTAAAAAGGACTTGTTATACTAATTGTTTTCTTTATTTCGTTGTAATATAATAGAAACCGCTCAATCTTGACCAATGGGATGATACTACATGCAAATTTATCGAAATTTTTGAAAAATTTCCATTACTTTATGACAAGAAAAACCCATTATACGGCAATTTAGAAGATAAACAAAAGGCTTTTACAGACATTATCAGTACCCTAAAAAGTCAGCATAATATTGATTTTAACGAAGAATTAATAGCCATTGCCATAGATGAATTGAAATCTTGGTTAATACGAGTCAAACGACGAAAAGGTAAACTTGACAAAACAACTGAGAAGTATTTAAAAATGTGCAAATTTATGCCGGCGAAGCGATCAAAAGAGAAGATTCCGTGTAGCATGTGCGAAAAGGTTTTCTACACAGAGCATAATTTAAAATACCATTTAACAAAAGTTCATAAAGTGGGAGATTTTTCGTTTCAATGTGATTTGTGCGGAAAAAAACTTGTATCGAAAAATGCTGTACTTTATCACAATCTAAGGGTACATGTTGAGAAGAAATATCCATGTGAGTTTTGTGGAAAATTGTACGCTATTCCTGCTGAATTGAAGGTCCATACACGGATACACACGGCAGAGAAACCACATATATGCGAATTATGTGGTAAATGCTTCAGACTGCGCAATCTTTTGAGTCTCCATGTTACACGTATGCACACCAAGATTCGTGCCTTCAAATGCACAATGTGCCCCAAAGATTTTCTCAAAAATACAGATCTGAGGGATCACATGAAGTCCCATTTAAATATTCGCGACAAAATATGTGAAACCTGTGGCAAAGGTTTTACAAATTGCCATTCTTTGATACGACACCGTCAGATACACTCAGATATAAAGAAATTTGCCTGTAAACTGTGTGACGCTAAATTCCATCAATTTGTTGGACTCAATGGTCATATGAAACGCACACATAATATAGTTAAAGAAGCTAACAATTAGAATTACATACTTTAGTAACTAACTACATGTAATAAAACACATTTATTTTAATAAATAACTGAGAAAATTTCATTTTGATATTGTAACTTTTTCCTTCAAAATATTATTGCACTTTGCGTGAAGTAGAAATATACATACATATGTATTTAATTCGAATAAGATGAAAAGTTTTCGTTTTTCTGTTCTATTAAAATAATTGTTTTCTTCATTTCATTACAATAAAACAGAACCCACTCACTCTTGACAAATGGAATGAAACTACGTGTAAATTTATCGATATTTATTCGAAATTTACATTGCTTTACGATCCAGATCATCCATTACATGGCAAAAACGTAGAAAAACAGAAAGCCTTATCTGAGATACGCAGCACCCTGTTGAGTCAACATAATATAAATTTCAGCGATGAAATCGTAACCGAAGCCATTGATCAACTACGATCTTGGTACTATTCGAGCAAACGTCGACAACATGTGACTAATAATAACGATGAACTTAAGAAATGCTACGCAAAATATTTAAAACTATGCAAATTTTTGCCAGAAAAACAAAAAAGAGTTAAGTTTCCATGTAGCATTTGCGATAAGATCTTTTATACGGAGAATCATTGTAAATATCATTTATCGAAGGTTCATCAAGTTGGAGAAATTTCCTTTCAATGCACTCAATGTGGAAAGAAACTTGTTTCGAATTCTGCTTTGCAAAGTCATACTCAAAGGGTTCACTCTGGAAAGGAATATCCATGTGAATTTTGTGGAAAATTATTTACGATACACTCGCAACTTAAGCTCCACATATTGGTACACACGAATGAGAAGCCGCATGTATGCGAATTATGCGGAAAAGGTTTTAGATTGCGAAATAATTTAGGTCTTCATGTTACCAGTATGCACACCAAGATACGTGCATTTAAATGCACCATGTGTCCCAAAGATTTTCTCAAAAATGCCGATCTGAAGGACCACGTAAAAACACATTTAAATATACGCGATAAAATATGCGACACGTGTGGTAAAGGTTTTACAAATTGTCATTCCCTTAGACGACATCGTCAGATACACTCAGAGGTAAAGAAATTTGCCTGTAAACTATGTGACGCAAAATTCCATCAATTTGTTGGACTCAATGGTCATATGAAACGTACTCATAATATAGTTAAGGATTAGAAGCAATTAGAATTAAGTACATATGTATGTGTAATTTATATTAATAAATAATTGTACACACTTAAAATGCTTTTTATCTTTCGTGTCTCTTGGTCAAAATTTGAAATTGATTGATTGTAGGTGTTAAACTGATTATTTAATACATTATTTATGTGTATATCGTAATCACTTTCTATCATATGCGGGTCGCAAAGATTTAGCCAATTATAGTTGATATAAATAAATAATTATTTTATTTTTATCTCCATTTTCCTGCGACACCACAGAAATTGTATCAGAAGCCACTAAATTTGAAAAAGTTGGACGAATATACATTAGCTTTCATCGTTACTTATGCCAAGTTTCCTCAACTATACAACGGTAGTCATCCGTTGTATCGGAATTTTGAAGAAAAATCAAAATCCTTGATGGAATTTTCAAATACACTTTTACATGAGCATAATTTAAAACTAAAATCCGAATGCCTCTCTAATGCTATAAGACAATTGCATTCATGGTATTATCGTATTAAAAATTATAAAGAACAAAGAAAGACACAGCTCAATGCGGACGAAATGGAATACTTTCAAAAGTGTACTTTTTTCCCAGAAGAACGTTTAAAAGAAAAATATCTGTGCAGTATTTGTAATAAATGTTTTAATTTAGAAAACAATTTAAAAGGCCACCTCTTCAAGTGTCATAAAATGGGTAATTTGCCCTTTGAGTGTGACCAGTGCGGAAAAAAATTTGGAAAGAAGACTATACTACATCAACACATACAACGAATGCATGCCAAAAGAAAATATAAATGTGAATTTTGCAGCAAGTTATTTGCAACAAAGTCGGAACATAATTTTCATAGCATGGTTCATACGGCCGAAAAGCCCCACGTCTGTGAATTTTGTGGTAAATCATTTAGAGTAAAGACACAATTGGGCTATCACATTACGGCTATCCACACAAAAGTACGTGCTTTCAAGTGCAATATGTGCCCCAAAGACTTTCTAAAGAAACGGGACTTGACGGATCATGTGAAAAGCCATTTAAATATTCGAGATAAAATATGTGTTACGTGTGGCAAGGGATTTTCAAATTGCGATTCACTGCGACGGCATCGGCAAATACATTCGGCTGTTAAGCGATATGCTTGTAAATTATGTGATGCTAAATTTCATCAATTTGTGGGTCTAAACGCTCACATGAAACGCACCCATGATATTGTTAGTGAGAATTAATAAATCTATAAGATTATCGCTACCATGTAGTTATTTATATCAAATACTTACCAGATCCGTTATATAAATAAATAATACTGAAAAAGTCTTTTTAATAATAAATCGGTTGTTTTATTTCTTTAATAAGATTAAGCCGAATAAATATGTTTCTTTAATAATTGTTTTCTTTATTTCGTTGCAATAAAACAGAACCCACTCACTCTTGACAAATGGAATGAAACTACGTGTAAATTTATCGATATTTATTCGAAATTTCCATTACTTTACGATCCAGATCATCCATTACATGGCAAAAGTGAGGAAAAACTAAAAGCCATATCTGAGATTCGCAGCACCCTATTGAGTCAACATGATATAAACTTCAACGATGAAATCGTAACCGAAGCCATTGATCAACTACGATCTTGGTACTATTCGAGCAAACGTCGACAACATGTGACTAATTATAATTATGAACTTCAAAAATGCTACGCAAAATATTTAAAACTGTGCAAATTTTTGCCAGAAAAGAAAAAAAGGGTTAAGTTTCCGTGTAGCAATTGCGATAAGATCTTTTATACGGAGAATCATTATAAATATCATTTATCGAAGGTTCATCAAATTGGAGAAATATCTTTTCAATGTAATCATTGTGGAAAGAAACTTGTTTCGAATTCTGCTTTGCAAAGTCATACTCAAAGGGTCCACTCTGGAAATAAGTTTCCATGTGAATTCTGTGGAAAATTATTTACGATTCGCTCTCAACTCAAGATACACACATTGGTACATACGAATGAGAAGCCGCATGTCTGTGAATTATGTGGCAAAGGTTTTAGACTACGAAATAAATTGGGTCTACATGTTACACGTATGCACACCAAGGTACGTGCCTTTAAATGTACCATGTGTCCTAAAGATTTTCTCAAAAAAGGCGATCTGAAGGATCACGTAAAGACGCATTTAAATATACGGGACAAAATATGCGAAACTTGTGGCAAAGGATTTACAAATTGTCATTCGCTAATACGACATCGTCAGATACACTCAGAGATAAAAAAATTTGCCTGTAAACTATGTGACGCAAAATTCCATCAATTTGTTGGTCTCAATGGTCATATGAAACGAACTCATAATATAGTTAAGGATGCTAATAATTAGAATTACACAACACGTATGTTAAATTAATATGTATATGTAAATAAATTATGGAAAAAAATATTCTTTTTTTCACTCGGTCCTCTTGATTAGAAAGAAAAAGTTATCTCATATTGCATTCTTCTGGTTTTAAGTTAATTTTAAATAGTATTTATGTTGGTACCCATTGTAGTTAATCTTTTTTCTATCGTATACGTATGGTCATTTACTGTACAAGCCCGCTTATTAAGATTGTCGAGAAAAAAATCCTTGATGGAAAATTCACTTTAACATTAGCTTAATTATAATCTAATGTTAATCTCCAATGATACAAAACAATTACATTCCTGGTATTATCGTACTAAGAATCACAAAGAACAAACAAAAGGAGCGTTGAATATGGACGAAATTAAATATTTTGAAAATGTACGTTTTTCCGAAAAGAACGTTTATTCACGTATTTGTAATAAAGTTTTAATTTGAAAAAAAAAATAATAATAATAAAAACCACGAGAGAGTGAGCATTGCGAGAAATAATTTGGAAAGAGTCCATGCAACATGTGACAAAAAGACTTTTTAAGAGGAGGTACTTGACGTATACGAGCAACGTGTGAGAAGAGATATACATACATATAAAATCTGCAATATTACTATACCATACATACATATGAAGTTGTTTTTATTGTCTAATGAGAAATAAATGCATAGTACTTACTTAAATGATCAGCTATAAATAAATACATAAATTATAGGTATAAAAATATATTTTTTTTAATCTTAAACTAGTTGTTTTAAGTATTTAGTTAGATTAAGCAGAAAAAATATGTTACTTTAATAATTGTTTTGTTTTTTATTTCGTTGCAATAAAACAGAAACCACTCATTCTTGATAAATGGGACGATACTACGTGTAAATTTATTGACATATATGCGAAATTTCAATTACTATACGATGGAGATCATCCATTATATGGGAAATATGAGGATAAACAAAAGGCCATAACTGATATTCGCAACGCTCTGCTCACTCAACATGAAATAGATTTTAATGAAGAACTTGTATCGGATGCTATAGATCAATTACAATCTTGGTACTATTTAACAAAAAGGCAAAAACATAAGAGTAAAGATGATGCCGAACTTGCCAAGAGCTGCGAAAACTATTTACAAATGTGCAAATTTTTGCCGGAGAAGCGATTAAAAGTGAAGATTGTCTGTAACATTTGCAATAAAAATTTTTATACGGAACACAATTTTAAATATCACTTAACGAAAGTCCATCAAGTCGGAGATTTTTCATTTCAATGCGATCTGTGTGGGAAGAAACTTATTTCGAAGTCTGCATTACAATGTCACTCTCAAAGGGTTCACTCTGAAAAGAAATATCCGTGTGAATTTTGTGGAAAATTATTTGCTATACCTTCTGAATTGAGGATCCACACACTGGTGCACACGGCTGAAAAGCCACATGTTTGTGAATTATGCGGCAAAGGTTTTAGATTACGAAATAATTTAGGCCTTCATGTTACACGTATGCACACCAAAATACGTGCCTTTAAATGTACCATGTGTCCCAAAGATTTTCTGAAAAACTGCGATCTAAAGGATCATATAAAAACTCATTTAAATATACGTGATAAAATATGCGAAACGTGCGGTAAAGGTTTTACCAATTGTCATTCTCTAATACGACATCGTCAAATACACTCAGAGGTTAAAAAATTTGCCTGTAAGCTGTGTGACGCAAAATTCCATCAATTTGTAGGACTTAATGGCCATATGAAACGTACCCATAATATAGTTAAAAAAGACACAAACAATTAAAATTACAATTATACATGTAAAAATCATATAAATATAGAATTACATATGTATGAATGTTAATAATATTTTTAATATATTTTTAGTCATCACTTTTGGCATTTATTCACCGATTTTTCCAAAAAGTTATTAGAGAACATGAGTATACTTGTTGTACTTTATAAATAATAATCATACGCCTAGATTATAAACGAAAATGTCTCGTCATTACAATTAGCTACATACAGTATCGTACAAAACTAACAAGTATTGTGTGTGTAACAGTTTTTTCTGTAGAAAAAATCTTGTATAATATTTTGTTCTATAGAAAATTTTATATATTCCACTTTATGTGTTCTACAATTTTCTCTGCCGAAAATTATGGTTTAATCAGGGTGCACTGAATACAAGAAGAGATGAATTCTAAAACAAATACAATATTTCCAAAAACAATATACAATTTGTTGCTAGTTTTGCTAGTTATGCCAAATTTGCCAATTTTTGTTTTTCAACAAACACAAACATTTCACAGTTAAAGCTCGAAAAGAAAAAACAGCTGGGTTATAGACTTTACCTTGTTGTCAGTGCGCCCTGATGAAGAAGAGTGGTAAATGAAACAACAGGGTGACTTAAATCTGAGTGTTTTGCAAAACTGAAAAATTAAATTTTCGACTGCTTGTGTTTTTGAAAAGATTTTTCGAACTTTTTTAATATCTACTTTTCGACCAAACGAGAAATACCTACATATATTTGAAAATCCCCAACATTGGAACCAATTCTAAGTACATATTTATTTGTTAACATACATTTTTGGTTAGCAAAAGTTTTTTATACAAATAATTGAATTACACTGATTTTCAAAAAGCTAATGCCATTGGCATCCCTACCTACCAGCTGTTAGATAAATACCATTGTTGTTTTCATAATAACAATTTTTGTAGGTAAAAATTTTCGTGGGTTTTTTAACTTTTACATTTTAAAGTATTATTCAATGAAAACTTTTTTGTTATTTTTAAATCAAGCTACCATACTGCATCAGTATGAGAACCTTTTTACTAAGGTTAGGAAGTAATTTCTTCAGACCTACGGAACAACACCATTGGCGACGTTTTCTAAATCCGGTATGTTGTGTAAACCTTTCAAATTGCAATAGCAGTAGGAGTTTTTTGAGAAATCTAGCGACGTCGAATTGTAATACAGGGTTATTGGGCTTTATTAGACCATACTCTTCATCTCCAAACGCTGCAGCGTTAGATGGAGAAAAACCACATTGTAACATTGGTACTATTGGTCACGTGGACCATGGAAAGACTACATTAACAGCAGCCATAACTCGGGTCCTATCGAAGAAAGGTTTAGCCGATTTCGTTTCGTATGATCAGATTGATAGAGCACCCGAGGAAAAGGCTAGAGGAATAACTATAAATGCCTGTCACATTGGTTATGCCACACCACAAAGAACATATGCTCACACTGACTGTCCCGGCCATGCTGATTATATTAAGGTAAATTGGTAAAAGTTATGCAATGGATATTTCATTTAAACCCTCGCATTTTTTAAAGAACATGATATCTGGGGCATCGCAAATGGATGGCGCTATACTGGTTGTAGCTGCAACAGATGGACAAATGCCTCAGACCAGGGAACACCTGTTGTTAGCCAAACAAGTAGGTATAGAAAAAATTATAGTCTTTATAAATAAAGCCGATTTGGTGGATCAAGAAGTTCTGGAACTGGTAGAAATTGAAATGCGTGAAATGTTAACGGATTTCGGATTTGATGGCCTTAATAGCCCAGTAATTTGTGGATCTGCTTTGTTAGCTTTGCGTGATGACACATCACCATTTGGTGTACCATCTATTGAAAAATTGGTTGATAGTATTGATTCGTATGTACCGACACCGAAACGTGACTTCGATTCGCCTTTTATATTGCCCATTGATAATGCTTTCACCGTGCCTGGGCGAGGTACTGTTGTAGTTGGTACCATAAAACGAGGAACAATAATTAAAAATGCCGAATGTGATCTTTTGGGTTTCAATCAGAATATAAAAACATCTGTGGGTGATATACAAATTTTTCGGAAGAGTATACCAAAGGTAAGTCAAATTTTAAGTATGGTCTATATGAAGTAGGTAATTTACAATTCAATTCACAAAAAAGGCGGTAGCTGGCGAAAATATTGGAGCTCTATTGCGTGGTGTAAAAATATCCAGTGTGGAACGTGGCATGTTGCTATGTGCGCAAGGATCAGAAGATATATCAAATCATTTTTTGGGCTCTATGTATTTATTGTCAAGGGCTGAAGGCGGACGCTCAAAACCAATGCTTTCCAAATACATACAACAGTTATTTAGTGTTACATGGAATGTACCTGCGCGCATTGACATGAGTGAGTAGTATTGTTTATAACAAAACATATATATTTTATATTTATATTTTTTCAGTTCCCGCAAATAATATGTTAATGCCAGGAGAACATGCAAATGTACGAATAACCCTGCTAAGAAAAATGGTCATGACGAATGGACAAGCTTTTACGATACGGGAAAACGGCGCCACTGTAGCTACCGGCATGATTTTAGAACGAAAGCCCTCTATCGATTTACCCAAAAACAAATTATCAAAAGCAATTGTTAATTATGATTAGGCCAAAGAAATTACTTTTCAATTGAAATAAATTTTGCTATTTGAAACTAAGTCACCAATTTATTATTTTAATTGTAAAATATATGACGTCGTTGCAATGTTATTTCCAATACAAATACATACATAATATGTATGTTGTTTATTTATTTCTTAAATTTATTTTTGATAAATTACACATAAATTTTATACATATATTGAAATAATTGCGTTTTTATACTTTTATTATTTCTCAATTTATATGCAATTATTATACTTTATTTTATTGTATGTATAATTTGGTTCTTTAAAAATAATTACAAAATGCGTTTATGTGTATATTTAATAAATAAATAAATAATTTAATTAAATATGTATGTATGTTGTGTTTTACATAAACATATATTTATTGTTAATGTTTTGCAATATAAACAACTATTATTAAATAACAATGTATGTATGATTATATTTAAATAGAAAAAAAAAACAAATACAAATATTTTATTTTTAGAAGGAAGAGAAAAATTCTAAATGGCAAAAAAAGAATATAAAACAGTTATTTGTTTATTTCTCGTACAATTCAAATTTACAGGTTATGGTAAACTAAATTTGCCTAATAGTTTGGTGATATTTCAAGTGATTTTGAAATCTGCAAATTTGACAAGTACTGTAAAAGGCGGCAAAAAAATAAAAAAAAAGAATATCAACAACCATAGGGCAAGTCTAATATAGGAATGCTTGTTTTTAGTTAATAACAAAGGAGTATAAGACGTTATTAGATTTTCTAAATTCGTTTAAAATAAAGCGTCTATAATCAGCTGTATCTATGTTCAAAGACAAATTATTACAAAAAAAATCATTGATTTACTAAATACACGTGTAAATATATCTAAATAATACATTGTTTGCAGTTGTTTGTAAATTTTTAAAGGTTCTAACAACTACTTCATTTAATTATTATAATATTGTTTGTTTCACATATTCACATTTAAAACAGGTATACATGATTCATTTGTTTTTGTTTTTTTAAAGGCAACAGGATTTTTATAACATCTATTTCAGTTGGTTATTGTTTCAGTTTGAGTTTGACTCGATTCTTTAAGAAAATTTTAAGTACAATTGTAAATGATTATAATAATGTTTTAATTAAAAACAAAACACTTTTTTGGAAGCACTATTACATACATAATTAGTAAAACAAAAAAATCATTGACAAAATATTTGGGAATGTATTTTGGGCTCCTAAATTTCGTTGCTAATTGAAAATAAATAATACTAAAGAGAAAAAGTAACTAATAGGTGGTGGCTTAGGAATGTTTGCGTTTTATATCTGAGTTAACTAATATATATTTTTTAACTTAGATCTTTTGCAGTAGTTCGTCTAGACCCAAGTGTTTAGGTATTTCAATGTCCTCCAGCTTTATGTCACTGTATTTGAAAACCACTTTAAACGGATAAATAAACTTTTGATCCATGGTAAATTCGTCGTTTTTAGTCTGAAATATAAATAAAAATGTTGTGAATACGTACGTATAATCGTAGCAAATATATTTACCATTGGACGAGCATTCAGTTTCTCGGTTAATTTCTCAAGGAAGGTATTGGTTATTTCTCCTTCATAATCATCCAACTTATATGATTTCATAATCTAACATTGATTAATAATAATATATTATTTAAATGAAATATATGTTTATTTTCGTTTAGTACAACATTACCTTTAATACTTGAGCAGTGTTTAAATTTGTACACAAGTCACAAATACTTTGAACATCCTTTTCACTTTTACGTGATTGCAATAATTGAGAAACTTGATTTAGCGGTGCTAAAGGTGCCAAAACATCTTTTGACTATAAAACGTAATGAAATGTTTTCAAATGGAATCAATCACCTTAAAGTCATTAAACTAAATTATACTTACCATTGCCTTGTCCTTCACCCACTCCTCAATGTGGCCCAAGTTATAGCGTATTATCATGCCTGTTTCCCACATACACTTATCTCCTCTCAACATCAAGCAATTCATGGCTATAGCACAAATAAAGTACATAAGTTGAGTGAAAATTTGTTCAGAATAGCAACGATCTAGTCCGAAATGTAGAAATTGTTTAAAGAAATGCTCCAATTGACTAATCAACTGTTTCCATGCGGCTATTTTGCCGTGTTCTGGTGATGAAGAGTTATCAAATGATGCAGCTCGATTTACTCGTCCCCCAATGTTCTTTTGATGGCCCCTTTGAATTTCATCGTTATCTAAAATGGCCTCCACAATATGACCTTCTAGAAGACCTTCAATTTGCTTTACCGATGCTTCATATAGTTTGGTTATGATTTCCAAAATAACACGTCGATATTCGTACAAGTTGAAATTCTTCAACTGTTGCTGATTTTGTTTTTCCGTATTAAATTTAACATATTCCTCGACATCACCGTATTGTTTAAGTAAATTCAGAAGTCTATAATATAAATAATGGAATTTTATAAAGTATATTGTAATATAACTAAAAAAAAAAACGTACGTTATAGAATTAACCAGCCATAGTATACGATATTCAGTAACACTAGGATTACGATGTATCTTCTTAATGTGTTTCACAAATTTACTCAATAGTTCACGAACATCTTCATCGGCATTGATTAGATCGGTATAACTGCATAATAAAATGTTTGTAAATAGCTAATTAATTATCTTTTACTTCATAGAAATAAATTGGATCATACCGTATACACATGAAGAGAACATATGCTGGGAATCCTGGCAACAAGCCAATAGCTACACGTGTACTCATATCGACAACTAGGCGATGGAATATTTTATCCAAATCTTCACTGCGAAACTTCATTAAACCTTAAAAATTAAATTATATTAAGAACAAAAAAATCATTACGTATGGAGGAGGTGAGATGAAAAACGGATGCATTACCTTGATAAGTTTTAGCTTTTTGTTTTCCAACCGAAACCATTGAGTTTTGATTGACAGCCGAGTTTGTCTCGTCTTTAGCAGGGCTTGGTCGACCATCAACTGCGCCCTGTTCCTGCAATTTCATCGTCAACTTATCACTACGATGCTTAAGGGAGTCATATTTCTTTAGCGTTGCGTTCAATTCTTCTTGAACCTGTGAGTATTGGAGTAATGTCTTCTTGAGCTCATATTTCAAGTAACGATTACTTTGCTGCAGAGCATCTGGATCTTTTGTATCAACATTCTGCTCATCCAGACTATTATTGAATACTTCTTGCAACTGAGCGTTCTCTTGCCGCAACTCATCCAATTGACGACTCAATTCTGCAAAGTGAGCATTGTTTTCTTCTGTAAGTGCCTTCAATTCACACTCCAATTGCTTGTTCACCAACTTCTGAGCCTGATAGGCATCGTTTAACTCGTTATCTAGGATAATGCTTTGATCTGAACTTCGTAGAGTCAAGCTTTCATTGCCAAGTGATTTCAGCGATTGCGTTTGCTGTTGCAAGACAGTCTTTAACTGTATACATTCCTCCCTGCGTCTTTTGAGTTCTTCTTGCAAAGCGTTATGTTGAGCTTCCAGCTCTTGCATTTCAGCTCCATTTCGTATGCTCTGTCTGAGCAAGTTGTAATCGTGACGAAGTTTTTCATTCTCCACTTCCAGCTCGGAGACTCGTAAGGAATCCTCTGTTGGTCGATGCTGACTTATAGCCTTATCCAATCGTGTTCTTAAAGTTCTGTTGTGTTTTGTTGCTTCTTCCAATAAATTGCGCAACTTGATGACAATTACAGTATTGTCGCTGCGAGGTGTTGAAGTTACCTCTAAACTACGGAATGGCTCTGGTGAAGTGCGACTATTATCGAATGTGCTGAGTGAATAGTTGCCTTTGTGTTCCAAAGTGTTTTTAGCTGAGCTGTATCCAACATCGTCTTCGTTATGACTCGACCCATTACTGATGGAACGATGATGTGTTAATGAGCCATATTCTCCACCGCCTACCTGGCGCGATAAACGTTTGAGTTCCTCTTTAAGGTGATAATTCTCGTTCTCGATTACCTCCTTATCCATTAGAGCTTTTCGGTAGGCGTCGTGGATTTCATTTGATTCAACTTCAGAAATTAAACGTTCGCGCTGTGTAATGGCACTAGTCTCTTTATTTTCGGATTGTTTAGCTCTCTCCAACATTTCATCTATTTGTTTGCGTAATTCATTATTTTCGGTAGTCCATACTTCTTTTTGTTTATTCCATTTATCTAGAGTGTTCGCATTTTCCTCTAACAACTGCATCTTTTCATCTCTTTCCTCTTCCAATTGCTGCATAAGAGTCGACAGCTTTTCATCTTTACCGGCCAACATAAGTTTCAAAGTCTTAAGTTCGCTTTCAACTGCCTTTTTCATTTCAAGTTTCATTTTTAGGACAGAAATTTCACTGTTCTTATGTTTAAGATTTCCGTTCTCTCTATTTAGTTCGTCAATACGCTGTTGCATCGAAATGATCTTATTCTCCAAGCCCTTGTACAGGTTCTCCATGTGTGATATAGTTTTAGCCTCCGCCTTGAGAAGTTTAAACTGCCGTCTAGCCAAGAATCTACGCACTGCAGATTGACATATAATAATTTGACGACGACGTTTGTGATATTCTCGCCTCGCCAGGTAACCACGCAAAAATCGCTGTATTTGCGTAGCACGATAATGATCCAATGCTTCCTGGAATCGTTTACGTGCTAACATGCCACGGGCGTACTGCTGAATGCCACAAACGGATCGTCTCAAACGAAGGTAACGTCTCCTACATAGATAGCCACGAGCATATTTTGATATAACAATCGCAGCGCGTTGTTCACGTATCTCTTGTGCCCTTTGGCGGGCCAAGTAGCCTCGAGCGTAACGTTGTATACCCAATGCCGTACTCTGCAAACGGACAAACCGCTTACGGCAAATGAATCGTCGTACTACACTCTGTATTATCGTAATGTATTTTTTTCTTAAGTTAGCACGAATTTGTTCCAAATATGCCACTTGTCCAGCTCGAAAGAATATTTGCGTATTACCAAAACGATATTTATCTTCGTCTGTTATCCATTTACTTACGATATTGCAACACGATTGCTTTAAGTCATTCTTATTAACTAGAGAACGATGACACAGTAATTGATAGCGCATATAGAAATCAAGGTACAACCACCGAGATGGAAATCCAGCTGCCGAAATTCGTACAGTTTCTAAAACACCGCAAGCACGCAATTGTTGTACAATTTTCGGAGCATCCCATTTAAAAGCGATTTTTTCTTCGTTGGGCTAAAATTTGTTTTTTTTTTTAATTATTTACAAATTAATAACTACTATCACAACAGTAGAAATATGTGTATAGATATTTATGTATTTCTTACCTTAATACAACGAACATAATGAGGAGTAGTCGAATGCAGCGTGTTTATTAAAGATGTTAAACTGTCCCGAAATTGCGATCCCACGGAACGTCGATGTTGCTTTGAAGGTGCAACCTTTTAAATAGTAAAAATATTATTACAGTTATAATACTATAAAGTAAAACATTAATATAGAATGTAGAATAAAGTAATCATGCACAATAATTAATTGGTTAGTCAAATAAAAAATCCTTTATGTATGGATGTATGTAGTACGTTAGAAAAAGGATTATTTAAAACGTTGGATTTGTGTTTTATTGAATCTGATGAAAACATGTTAAATAAGTTGATTTAGTATGTTTTGTTTTAGATTAGAGCTGTTATATGTAATAAATTATTTCTATGTTATACCAAAACATCAATGGTTTGCCTTTCATTCGATCAAAATTTGGAAAATAATTTTTTCAAAAAATATATTTTGATAATTTAAAAATATGAATTACATTTTTTGCTAAAAATATCTGAGCACTGTGTTATATATCGATGTAGAAAAATATAGAAATTTTAGTGGTATAAGTTCGGTTAATAAAATTTCACGTAGTGTTATGTTAATAATAAGAGTTTTTTGTTAGTTTCAACTTTAAGCATGCATTGATTAAATTAATTAATAAAGCAGAACAAACAAACAAAAACGACAAACATATCAACTAACTCTTCGACGAGCCTCTTGGGCTACTGTTGTACCCTATGTTGCAAAAGATTTTAGATCATCAACATCAATTACGACAAACAAATAATGTACATCCAAATGGTCATCATTTAAAAAAATCACATATAAAAAATAGAAAGATCAAAAAAATAAATATCTATTTATGAAGTAATACTTCAATGGTAATCTGTAAGGAAAATCAAAAGAAGATTTCGCAATCCTTTGGTAAACGCACCTGTTTTTTTGCAGCACTTATTACAACTCTTCCTCCAAGAGTGTGTGTTTTAGCTGCATCTGCACTAAGAGTATCGATTTCCTCCATTTCCATCAATTGCTTACACAAAGACATTTTCGATTGACGTATAACATTTACCAATTCCTTTGATACAGTATCACGGTTTTTCTCCAAGAATCCATTTACATCGTACTCCACCGTATCAGAGAAATGTTTGATAAAGAAAGCTTAAAGTATAAAAAATTTTAATGAAACTGTATTAGAAATAAATACACTAAAACGCAGCTTACTTGTGTTGCCAAAGCGCGGTTTTTCAAAGTGAGGAAATTTATTGCATTTTTCAAACAACTTTCGAGCCCAACTTTCATCTGATCCTCTAGGCATCTGTTTAATGGCGAAAGTAAAATTATAAACTTATCTGTATGTTTCTTTAATGGCATTTACTTACTCTACATTCCTCATCTAGTAAATCTAAAACGCCTAATTTAGATTCAATCAAATCTATGCAAGGTTGATTATCATAAAAATCAATCATGGTCCAGGCTATACCCTCTTTAAGATACTCTTCTTGTTCAAGCTTAAAAACATGTTGATTGAATTGCTGTTGCAGTTTTTCATTGGCGTAATTAATGCAAAACTGTTCGAAAGAATTAACATCGAACGTCTCAAAGCCATAAATATCTAGGACGCCAATAAAACAACTGTGTTTGCGATCATTGTTGAGTCCTTTGTTGAGAACACTGACAATATATTGAAAGAGTTTTGCATATATATGCTTTGCTAAGGCGTCTCTAGCTGCCATGGCTGTTTCCAGATTATTGGGAATTAACACCAGTTCATTTACGGATTCAATTTGACGAGTTTTTAGCCATTTTCGCAAATCATCCGCATTGATTTTTAACAATTCACCCATAACACGTAAATGCAAATCATCTGGCTAGAATTGATAAAAAAAAATCCTCTATTGTTCGACAACTTACAAACAAATATGTTTACTGTATACTCACGTCGATTTGACAACCATCTGGATCAATTTCATTTGAATTCGATTTATATTTGTGGGAGAATTTTAAATTTCCCAAATGAAGGATGCCAGCAAGAATGTTTAAGACATCTGAAATCTAAAAAAAGAGCATTTTACTACCTTATGTACTTAAAATTGAGACATCAGAAACTCACTTGTCTTTTATCGAATCCCAATATGAGCATTGCCTGAATAGTTTCTTTAAATTGATCCCTGTCGGAAACTTTATCAATATCAGGCGATTTGCCCATATTTAAATAATCGAATTTGTCCTGATGATCTAATAAAAGTCAATGTAAAAACAATTTTCATAAAATTATACCGTTTCTTTTTGTATGTTATTTTTAAAATTTACCTAAAATTAATTGCGGGTGATCCTTTCTTGCGGCACAAAGTTGATAGAATATGTGATAGTTTCGTTCACCCAAAGCCTGGAATACCACTCGAGACTTTTCCAAAAGATAAGTATGCATTGTGGCTCCTGTTAAATTCATAACACTCATATTGTTCTTAAATAATAGTTTTGTGAACTTTCCGAAACGTGAACTGTTATCGTTTCTAGTCGTTTTTGCGTTACCAAATGCCTCCATTATAGGCGATGATGCCAATACTTTACGTTCAACTTGAGTCTCCGATTCTGAGCCGCCAACAGCAGCAAAATAACGCATCGCATATTTTGCCGATACAGTCTTTCCAGCGCCAGACTCCCCACTAACAATAATACTTAAATTACATTTTTCTCTTTCTAGTTTTGTGTAGGCCTCCTCTGATAATGCAAATATATGGGGTTCTAATTCTCCAATGGATCTTCCTCGATAAGCTCTAATAATACTGGATCCATATAGTGGTAAATCGGCGTATGGATTAATGGCTACTAATACAATACCACAGTAGGTGTATATAGTTTGACGTTCGCAAAAGCGCACTCTTAAATTATGTAATACTCCTGGTTCATGCAAGTACGACAATGAAGTCAAATCATTTTGTCCAATTAATATAGCAGGATTTCGTAGTGGCGGTAGATTACTACCATCTGCCTTAACTTTTACCTCTACTTCACTACCATTTTCCAACTGAGCCTTCAAAACTGTATTGCCTTTTCGATAGTTTTCATTGAGCGTGGCACTTTCCCATACCGTCTTGGGGTTTGGTAGCCATACCTTAGATCCCTAAAAATTTTAAAATATACACAAAAATATTTTGTAAATCAATCATAACAGCAATAGAATTTTAAAAGATGCGTCATCAAATTTGATCAAAAATCAATATGAGTCTAGTATCGTCGTATGCCAAATTGATAACGTAAAAATAAATATGTACTTATGAATGCCTAGTTCTATATTTATTTCTCATTGTTTGCTTTATTTGTTTCTTGTTATCATTGCTTTTCAATTCTGTAATTTTGTTTAGTTTTTCTAACAGAAAACACAAAAGAAAAACTCTATAGCTGAAACACTCGTTCGATATATTCATTGAAAACTTGTATATGAACATTAAGTATAGGCCGTGAAATCGAAAATCGAGCCAACTGAGTAATCCAATCCAAATATCTTAATACATACTTACATCAACATAGAAGATTTAAATTTCATGCTAACATCACAAAACCTCTTACTACAAGTATTTAACAACAATAAAACTATGATGGGAAGCGAACCCAAGATAATATTTGGTTAGCATAGGTATAGTTTCTTATTAATTTTGGATCTGTTAGTCTTGGGATCTTCATATAGACGAAGTCAAACATAATTATGTTTGTGTTGATGCAAGATTAGGTTTATTGCTTCACAAAAAGATAATTCAACCAAACAAGTAGTATACAACAGTAGATCTCATAAATATTTGCATTCTTTAAACCAAATATTTAGGATTGCATAGCAGAATGTATAATGAATAAACTAAATTTTTTCACTTACATCTTTTGTAAAAAATAAAATTATGTATATTCATTTTTGTCAATAATTATTTCAAAAATATTGTAAACTATAGTGTAGTTTTCAGTTATATTCAATGTTTTGTATAATGATGACAATTATGAGGAAACCTTCCCTTTAATATTTTTATGAATCCATATAAATACCTTTGCATAAAGTAACTCTTCACTCGACATTATTTGAGCCAAATATTATTTGGTGGGGGAGATTATCAGGTAAAACACCAAATATTCCAAGGCGTTTTCCTTTTTTTTATTAATATTTTAATTTTTTCATTAAAATCACACAAATATTTTGTAATTCTGGTTAGATTTTTCCAATACGACACTTTTTGCAGCACACCAACAACAACATTAAATAAAATGTCTAAATCAATGCAACACCGTTATACTTAAGAACAAAAATAATTTATTTTTATTTACATTACAGAATTTATTTTAAAGATTATTGGCAAAATGTTGGCTATGTAAGTTGTATGTAAGAAAATTTATATAAACAGAAAATTTCTTTATTTTATCGTTATGAAAACTAGACAAAAAATAATTTACTACTGACGTTGACAAAAGCAACGACCGAGGTCCAAGTCAAGCGGCTTTATAACGGCGTTAATTTTTGTTTACATACATATTTTGTGGCGCCGCTTAAAAATGTCAACTAAACTGATAAAAACATAAAAAAATAATATTTTTGAGTCGTTTAATATTAAAATAGTAGAATTAGCAGACAAATATTTCTTTGTTGGAGAGTAACGACAAATATAAAGAAATATAAAAATCGATGTTTACCTATACATAAGTGAAAAAATATTTTAAATTTCAAAATTTAAAAATTAAAACGCCGTCAAAAAATGTAAGCCCTTGATCTCTGTAATTAGTTTTTAGGGTTCATATAATCGACTTTCGAACAGTCGACTTTTTGTCGATTAAGTCTAAAAGTCGATGTTTTGTCCGATTGTGTTAAAAAATATAATACCCCATTTACACAAACACGAAATCTAGTAGCACAGGGTATTTTGTGCTAGTAGATTTCATAAAATCTGTAAAAATTGGTAAATACACATTAAAAATACAATATAAATTGTCAAAATCAGCTGCCATATTCGTGTGCCGCTTATGACGCTTACAAAAGTAGAAAGTAGATCTACTTTAAGCATTCTACGCGTCAAGGCATCCTACGCTTTTGTGCTTGTAACTTCTAGCACACAACAACATTGATTCTACATTTTTGACAGCCGCGTAGAATGCGAAGAAGCGTAGAACGCGTGGTATGGACCTCCAGCTAAATATCACCCAATTTACACGATGATTTTTTCATGTTTGCCCAGACGTCTGTTTTCATGTTTGTTGAAGATTGTAGGTGATCGGGGTAGAGACGAATGGGGGGTAAGAAAACAAACATGATTTGGGATTTTCATGATTGTTTTTGAGATTCCTCTTTACACTCATTCGTACTGTTGATGTTATACTCATGTACAAAAATAATTATGAGTTTTTTTAATGAAAACATCCGGGATGGAAAAATAAAATTTTTTGCATCGACTTAATTTTATTTTGGATTGACTTAAATTTTTCTGCATCGGTTAACCGGATAATAGGGGTAACGTGTTATCCGTGATTATAAGCAAAATTCTTTATATTTTTTAACAATCAAGCACAGTTAGAACAAAGCGAAAAGGGGAGACAAAAAAATAACAACATAATATGATTATTTTTAGAAATTACATAACATGAAATCATTATCTACTGTTCACTGTTTTCTGACAAAATTACTTTTTTATTGTTGAATAAAATCCTTAAATTATTTAGTTTTTAAATAAATATGTACATTTTTTATTAATAAAAATGTTTATTAAAAAACTACCCAAAATTGGTGCTCAAAACGACCAGGAAGACGATAATCGAGGTCCCACTGTATTTCAAATTTTGCAATTTTAATACATAAACAAAAAATGATGTGGCAACTCTTTTCAATTTGGCTTTCAAAAGTGGCAACTCAATTCAGCATGCATTTCTGTTCCCGCCAGAGACTTGCGCCGATTCGGCTTAAGCCGACTAAGCCTAGCCGCCGAACAAAATGTCAAAGCCGCCGCCGCCGAAAATTTTTCAGCTTAATACGGCTTGAAAATTTCGCCATATTTTGTACAATTTACAGAATACTTTCGCTAAATTTGTGGAATTTTACAATATAAAATTAATTTGTTTTCATTTAAGCAAGTTTTCTTTTATCTAATAATAAGCCGCTCATTGAAATTTGGCCGGTGTAGAACTTTGCTCAACGTTCGATGTACATGCTTCGCCTCAGATATTTTCGTGTTTTCGCGCCTAATTCGAGTCGCTGCTTTGACTTCAAACCAGCTTCGTTGACGTCAACGGAGCTACACCTTTTTACATTGCTGGTATGTCATACCGTAAAGGGCTAGGGTATCGAACATGTGTATTTCAAATGGGAAGTGCAGTTGATGTCAATTCTGCCGACTGCGAAAAGAAATTCTGCTAGAATTTTTCGCGCCAAGCTGTTTTCTGCATTTTTTATTTGCCACAAAAAATCTGTTGTTGTGTGTGTGCGAAAATCTAAAATGACAGATCTAGAAGATTAAAAAATGTAAGTAATGGTGTTAATTAATTATTTATTTGTCTATAAAGAACGTCTTTCTTTTCAAGAAAGAGGAGGCATCATGATGGTCTCCTGGAAGAATGCCCACATATATACCGTGAAAACGAAACTTGAATTCAAGTCGAACATTACAATGTTTTTACAGTATAATTCAATGCACGAAATCTATATACATAATCTATATATATATATAAAATTCTAACGTTACTGACTGACTGACTGATTCATCATCGCACAGCCTAAACGGTTGAAGCTAAAGAGCTGAAATTTGGACAGGAGGTTGGTCTCCCGCCAAATAGATCCACTAAGACGGGATTTTTGGAAATTCGAATGTTTAGGGGGTAAAAAAGGGTATAAACGGGTAAATTCGGTAACCTTATATCTCCTAAACTAGAAAAGATACAAAAACAGTTTAAAGCTTATAGCCGTTCATTTAAAAAATAAACGGACAGGTGTCTGGTACTTTTTTAAAATTCGGCCCCTTTAGGGAATAAACGGGTAAAAACTGTATTTTGGTACTTTTTTCGCACCCCATGTATCTTTTAAACCAGTGCACATTCAAAAAATATTTTTGACTCCTTCATAACTTAACGAAAAAATAAAAATATGAATTTAGTACTTTTTGGATATTCGGACGTTTAAGGGGTTAAAATTGTACCTATTTTTGGTACTTTTTTCATAAAACATTGTTTTTGGTTTATTAACTTATACATATGAATACATAATAACGGGCTCCCAATACGATGTTGCAACTGGTACTTTTTTGACTTAGAACTTAGAAACATGTAATTAAGCACTTGAGAATCTATAAAAGTGGACTTTTTGGTACTTTTTCGTTCTTCAAAAGGTACTTTTTGAGTTTTCTATTTTTCGTTCTTCGACTGGTACTTTTTGAATTTTTTATAATATTGAACCTAGAAACATGAATTTAGGAATGTACAGCCCGGATTAAGTAATAACATATAAAAGGGAACTTTTTGGTACTTTTTCGTTCTTCAAAAGGTATTTTTTGAATTTTCTATAATATTAAACATGGAGTAAGTGAGAACATATAAAACGGGACTTTTTGGTACTTTTTCGTTCTTCAACTTGTATTATTTGGATTTTCTTTTATAATGAACCTAAAAACATAAAACTAAGCAATCAGGGACTTGAGTGAATGAAAATTTAAACTGGAGTATTTCTGGTAATTTTTCGTTCTTTAACTGGTACTTTTTTAATTTTCTAAAATATTGAATATATAAACATAAAATTAAACACGCAGTATCCTAATTGAACGAAAATTTATCTCGCTTACGTCCACTAAAATAGGAATAGTCTTCCTTTAGAGTTGCGAGTTTTCATACATTCTAATAATGTTTTCAAAGTGAAACGTTTGGAATATTTTTCAATCTCTTTGTGATCCCTTTAAATGATGTTGTTCTGGAAGAACTTTAACATCCATGTAAACATTTTGGGTAATAAACTGGGAGACTACCAATGAGGGGAGCGGAAACTCCCATATGAATTAAATACAAAAATTCGTTTATCTGGGAAACTAATATAACTAAATTCTTCAAATTTTGCACGAACAACTTTAATATTCATCTGAACATTTTGGAGAAAAAAGGGCGGATTTTCATCTGGGGGGCTTGGAGCTCCCATATGAATTAAATAGAAAAATTCGTATATCTGAGAAATTATTAGAGCTAGAATCTTCAAATTTTACTGAAGAACATTTAGAGAATAACGGGCGGACTTTCAATGGGGGGCTTGGCACTTCCCATATGAATTAAATACAAAATTTTGTATATCTGGAAACTATTAGATTATTCAAATTTTTCATAGAATAAATTAAAATCTTAATTAACGTTCGGAATAATTGGCGAAATTGCAATAATTTGCGTGGAATCTCCCATATGTAACAAATTGTATATCAGGAAAACCATTGTAGTTAGAATCATCAAAATTGTTAAGTAGGCTTCTTATTTATATTGCTTTTAGGGTAGCACAGCACACTGGGTATAGCTAGTAAATAAACAAATAAAATATCTTTGTTTTTACGTTATTGATCATTTTCTTAATGCAAAATTTTTTAGAAACTGATTTTCTGCAAGATGTTTTATATGGAAGATAGGGTTAAATATCGGCAGATCCTAGTAAAACTTGGAGAAAGGATTTGTTTTTAATTTTTAAGAATTTTTTATTCATCCCTGCATAATTTCTCATGCAACTTTTGAGTTTGCTCTGTTTTGTTGTTATAAACAATATATTTTCTTCCAAAATCCTACTTTCTGATCTCTCGGATTCCGTTTTTATTTAAAATCGTTGAAAAATTAAAAACTAAACGTAGTTGAAAACTTAGCCGGCTTACAGTCGATTTTAAGCCGCCGCCGATATATTTAGTGTCAGTCGCCGCCGCCGTTAATATTTGTCGGCGCAGGGCTCTGGTTCCCGCGTAAAAATTTGTCAAAGAACGCTTGCATATTTATTGTTTATCGAAGTGTTGTGAAGGATAGTTGTATTGCTGTTTTACTATTTTTGCAATTGAAATATTTAAGGAAATAAATTATTATGTCTAGCCCCGCAAGAACTCCTAACAGCGGTATAACCTCTAAGGGCCAGAAGACACCAACACGTTGTAAGTTGTGGCTATTGTTCATTAATTGTAGTTTCTTGAGTTCTCTATTTGTTGTGTTTTCAATTAGCTATCAATGTCCAAGATGCAGAGACACCAATGCGTATGGGACCGAATCAACATGCCCAGCCTTCGGACAACATAAGTTTACCTCCTACTTCACCGGGTAATATAAGCTTACCAGCAACCAGCCCAGCTAGAGGTCTGGGAGCCAATATGAGCGAAATTGACTTGAGTTCTCCTTTAAATTATGGTACACCCAGTTCAATGGGTTCTATAAGAACTCCACGTTCAGGCATCCGAGGAACGCCGTTGCGTGCAAGACCTGACATTCGTACAGACAAAAAAATGCGTCAAGTAGCAATCGCCGGTACTGGGGTAAGATCTATGAAATTTGTATAAGATGGGAGTTGTAAATTGTAATTGTATTATTTTTTTAGCTGGAACCAATACCAGAACGCGTTTCTGAAACAACAGATCCAGTGTCGGAAGCATCTACAGCTCCGCAGATGGTAGTTTGGGGCACAAATGTTGTTGTTAGTCATTGCAAAACTAAGTTTAAACAATTTTTACTACGCTATATTGATCCCACTGCTGAGCAAGATGAAATATCTGAAAATATAGATGTAAATCAACCATTGTATTTGCAAAAGTTGGAAGAAATTCATACTCTCGAGGAGCCGTACTTGAATTTAAATTGTTCTCATTTGAAGACGTTTGATGAGGCTTTATATCGCCAACTGATTTGTTACCCCCAGGAAGTCATACCAAGTTTTGACATGGCCGTCAACGAAATGTTCTTCGAACGTTACCCCGCTGCAGTGTTGGAACATCAAATCCAAGTTCGACCCTTCAATGCTGATAAAACTCGTAATATGCGTTCGCTCAACCCTGAGGATATGGATCAATTGATTAGTATTAGTGGCATGGTCATTCGTACCTCAAATGTTATACCCGAAATGCGAGAAGCATTTTTCAAGTGTATTATTTGTGATTTTGTGACTACCGTGGAGGTTGATCGTGGTCGAATTGCCCAGCCTACATTGTGTACAAATTGTAATACGAATCATTGCTTCCGCTTGGTTCATAACCGTTCCGAATTCACGGACAAGCAATTGGTAAAATTACAAGAATCGCCGGATGATATGGCAGCTGGCCAAACGCCTCATAACGTTCTCTTATATGCTCACAATGATTTAGTCGATAAGGTACAGCCCGGTGATCGTGTTACAGTGACTGGCATCTATCGCGCTACACCCATGAAAAATAGTAATACTTCATCCAGTGTAAAGAGCGTCTATAAAACACATGTCGATGTTGTTCATTTCCGCAAAGTTGATAATAAACGCTTATATGAAGAGGAAGAAGGGTATTTAGATGTAAACAATTTTCTTCTCACCATATTTAACTTTTGTTCTTTATTTTTTTTTTTTTTAGCAAAGACCATATATTTCCCCCAGAACGAGTGGAATTGTTGCATGCTCTCTCACAAAAACCAGATATATACGATAGATTGGCCCGTGCTATTGCACCATCGATCTATGAAAATGATGACATTAAAAAAGGAATTCTTTTGCAGTTGTTTGGTGGCACTAAGAAGAAACATTCCACTTTGGGAAGACAAAACTTTCGATCTGAAATCCATTTGTTGTTATGTGGAGACCCAGGAACGTCCAAGTCGCAAATGTTGCAGTACGTTTTCAATTTGGTACCACGTTCACAATACACATCGGGACGTGGTTCATCTGCTGTCGGCTTAACAGCATATGTAACGAAAGATCCAGAAACCAGGCAATTGGTATTGCAAACGTGAGTTAGAATATTGTTAGTAAATACTTCAGTTTTATTAGTAAATTTATTTGATTTCTAGTGGTGCCCTTGTTTTAGCTGATAATGGTGTCTGCTGTATTGATGAATTTGATAAAATGAATGATGCTACCCGTAGTGTTTTACACGAAGTTATGGAACAGCAAACCTTAAGTATTGCAAAGGCCGGAATCATTTGTCAATTGAATGCTCGTACTTCTATATTAGCAGCTGCCAATCCAGCTGAGAGTCAATGGAACAAAAAGAAAAATATAATTGATAATGTTCATTTGCCACATACTTTGTTGTCACGTTTCGATTTAATTTTCTTGGTTCTCGATCCTCAAGATGAAATATTTGATCGTCGTTTGGCAGGACATTTAGTGTCATTGTACTATGTAACTCGGCATGAGGAAGAGGATACAATGTTTGTAAGTATTCATAATATAATGGATCGAATCGTTTTCTCAATGAGTTATAATTGATTTAATTTAGGACATGAGTGTTTTGCGTGATTACTTAGCTTATGCCCGCGAACACATTGCTCCTACTCTTTCTGAAGAAGCTCAACAACGTTTAATACAAGCGTATGTTGACATGCGCAAAGTTGGTGCTGGACGCGGACAGATTTCCGCTTATCCACGTCAGCTTGAGAGTTTAATTCGTCTTTCAGAAGCACATGCTAAAGTTCGTTTAAGTCAGCAAGTAACAGTTCAAGATGTGGAGGAAGCCTGGCGTTTACATCGTGAAGCTCTTAAGCAATCGGCCACAGATCCTTTATCGGGCAAAATAGACGTTGGTATTTTAACAACTGGCCTTTCAACAGCTGCTCGTAAAAAGCGTGCCGATTTAGTGGCGGCCATTAAAGAGAATCTTCAAAAGAAAGGCAAAATACCAACAGTGCCATATCAAAAACTTTTCAAAGAAATTAAAGAAGCTTCACAAATTGTAAGTTATCATTATATTATATGATGTGTTTGTTAAATGAATATTATTAAAATTGATAAATATTTTTTGCAGCTTATTACTCGCGAACAGTTTGAAGACGCTCTTAAAGAAATACAAGACGAGGGCACCATTGTTGTTATGGGTAAAAATACCATACGTATTTGTTAAGTTTTTTTAACCATTTCCAATAATTTTTTCATGTTTACCATTAAAATTTATCTGTTAAAAATCAAATTGTTATCATTAATGTGTTTTATTTTGGTGGGATATAGAAAATCATCAAAACCGTCGTTGAAGATATTTATTTTAAGAAATAAACTTAATAAAAAAATCAATACTTGGGAATTTTTTCGAGCGTTCGCTTTTGTTTATTGCAGCCCTTATGTATAAAAAGTATATTTCCAAAATTCTGATAAATTTCACACTTCATTAATTTTTAAACCATACTTGAAATTTTCTTGTAGTTGATGTAGAATGTACTTATTGCATCCTGGTAGATATTAAACAAAAGTGAATTTTTATTTTAAATTTGAACTTTACCAACTAAACACAGCCCAACGCAACGACGTGACCGGGGAAGTTACTAAGACCTGGTCCACACTAGGAAACTTTTGTTGAGAAACTTTTTCTTAATTCTCTTTTGAAGTCTCCTTAATGTCCACACATAGAAACTTTTGTTTCAGAAACTACGTATTAATTGCATTGATTTGTTGTTGTACGAATGAGAAGAATAACAAAACAAGTTTCCGAGTACGAGAAACTCCGTACCGCGAGAGAGATGAATGATATTCTTTCTCTCTCACGCAAAATCAAAAGTTTCCCAAAAAAAGTTTTCTAGTGTGGACTGACAGAAACAAAAAATGTACGTGACTTAAAAAAATAACACCGCGCTAACAGAATTAACGGCGTCAATTGCAACAATGTTTGACTACGAGTTTTTTGTGAGGAATATATTTGTTTTGTGTGTAAATTTTGGAATGTTTTTAATAAATGGATATCGATACAATTAAAATCTCTTCGGATCCAAGTCCACTGAAAATGTCCATTTGTAAGGCGAATGAAAGTACTATAAGTGAAAATAATATTGTTTCCAGTAATTATAAAATCAGTAGAACTGCGACAACATATCAAGCAAGTGATAGTGGTGCACCAGCAAATATGGAGGGCAACAATAGTATTGCTAAAACTACTGAAGAGTGTGCAGCAGGTAACAATGTTCCGCTTAAAGCACCAACTATGTTAGTTGGCCGAGAAAAACGCAATTTATCACCAACCATGCAGGAAACTTTCGTTGATCCCCAATCACCATCATCATCGTCCTCTACTTCACAGGCCACTAGTGCCAATGATGCGACTTTTGAACCCACCATTGAAATGATGGTAAATGATTTCGATGATGAGCAAACTTTAAATGAGGAAGAAGCTTTAGCTGCTCTAGAATCACAGGATCCGGATGAGGAAATAAATACGCTAAAGGAAGAAAGTGAAATGCCTTTGGAAGAATTGTTAGCTAAATACAGTGCATTGCCTCCTCTTCCGCCTACAATAGAACCGTTACGAAAAAAATCTAAAAAGTCTTCATCATCCTCACACAAGAAAAAACACAAATCGAAACAAAAGCATAATGTTCGTCCACAACAAACTCCAAATGATTCTATTGAGCAATGTACTGCTTCCAATGAAGTTGATGACCCTACAAAACACGCCAAAGCTAATTTAGAATTGAATAATGCAGAGAATGTAGAGGAAAAGGATTTGCCAGAAGATAAAAAGGTAGATGATTATGATGAAGAAGGCGCTAGCAGCCCCTCTTCACCCCGAAAACCCACAACACCCTCGCTAGACGAAGAGCGCAAAGAAGACGAAGAAAGTGCTTTTGTTAACGAAAATGGAATACATAGTGAAATTCTTAAAGTTCGTCGATCTCATTTACTCGATTTGTATCCGGAAGGAACATTTGATAATGTTGTGATTAATGATGCTATTGCAGGCAATAGTAAAGGTAAAGAAGCTTATTTTGATTTTTTAGATAATTTATTATTTTCTCATCAGCATTTTGGTTGGTAAAAGATACATCTTTTAGAACTTTTATTTAAAAATTATATTTTTAGATTTATTTTTTATTAAGAAAATGCAGTTGCATTAAGTTATGCATGCATGCTTATAAAAATATTATAGTTCTTTTTTTATAACCTTGTGAAATTCACGTTTTCTATAAAATTCAATCTTGTGATTGTAGTTTCTTAACTTTTTTGTGAAATTCAGAAATATGTAATTTTAAAACTCTAGAATTAAAATTTAACGGTAGAGACATAAAAGTAAATAGAAACAGATATTCCCCTAGAATCTTTATATGGCGTTGAGGATGACGATGAAGACGAAGAAATTGAGGAAGAGGAGGATGAAGACTACAAAAAGAAAGTAATGATTGGAACATCATATCAAGCTACTATACCAGTGGGTCTATCGCAGTATGGCGATATTTTACCGTATGAAAATGAAGATAAACTCATTTGGGAACCCAGTCAAGTCAGTGAACGTGAAGTAGAAGAGTATTTAATTAAAATTAGAGATATTAAATCTAATCAACAAGGCGACGAAGAGGAAGACGAGGATTCCGTTATTGATACAAATTTGGAAAACCAATCGAAGGAAAATAGTAGAGCTGACAACAATAAAGACAATTTGGAAAATAATTCCTTTTTAGCGAATGGCAACAAATTACAACTTGATACAGCAGCGTCTTTAGATATGGACAGTCAAGCTGTAGTCAAAGATAACGAACAGGTATGTGTCAACATATTATTTGTAATACAAGAAAGTTCTTTAATATTCATTTTGCTCTTAGGCTCTTCATTTATTGGTGCAATGTGGCTACGATTTTAAGGAAGCTTTACGACGAAAACGTCTAAATGCACTTCCCCTAAATGATTGCATGAGTTTGTGGTCTGAAGAGGAATGTCATAAATTTGAGGAGGGCATACAAAAGTATGGAAAAGATTTTCTAAAAATTAGACAACACCAAGTTAGTTTAACTGGACTTAACTCTCATCGGATCATATAAAATTATAGGTTTTACTTATTTCAGGTGAGGACACGCACTATGCGGGAGTTGGTACAATTTTATTACCTATGGAAAAAGAGTGAAAGAAGAGATCATAATTTCGCCAATGCTGATACCGTAGATCATATGGATATTTATTTAAATGAAGATAACGAATACGGATCCAATTCTACCTCAGCTGTAACACCAGTAGGTTCACCAGTGGCTAATATTTCAAATTGCACAAGTACTCGAAGAAATAGCAATGCTTCACAGAAAAACTTTTCCATAATGACTACTACCACTTCCACAAACAATACAACATCGACAGCAACAATAAATTTAAATTTAGAGAAACCTGCTTCCAATACTTCTCAGCAGCAACATCATAAAAGACGTACCAACAACAGTTGTATAACAGCATGCGATTTTAGCAATGATAACTCTGGCATTCTGCACACGAATACCACCAAATGATGACAACGGACGAAGCGGTCTAAAAAACGTTATATACCGATTCAAAATCGTGTCAAAAGAAAACGTAAACGTATAATAGTTCGTAGACATTTTCGTAAAAGTGTAAATTTACGCAAAACAGCAACTAGTATTGCGAATTAAAACAACATAAAAAGTAATAATATTCCATTGCAATTACAAACATACATAAGTACGTACATACAAACCTTTTATATATATAACTTAGATATGGACATGTTTTAAAAGAAACATGCAATTGGAAAATAATAAATTTTTGAAATCCCTTCTTGAGTTGTACTCATAAAAAACATTTAGATTTTGTGTTTTTTTTTTAATAATATGTACATATTACGTATTTTTCTCAGTTTCATTCCCAGTCAGATTTTTATGGATTTTTGGGAAGAAAACATAGAGTTTTAATCATATACATTTTTAGGTATTTCTGTCTAATTCTTGACTGTAAATCTGATGGACTTTAATGCACAGAAAGAAATAATTGCTGCTTAATGCAAATGTAATAATAATGAAAAAACTTTAAGTTGTACAAATTGAATAAAAAATGTGTTTTCATTTTTTAAAATCATATTTAATACGTTTATATTGAATACATGCAACAAAATTGAGTTAAATACTTACGCAAATACAAATTTTCGAACTTTCATTTCAATAACATTGTCCTTATTTGGGAAACTATAGTTTTATAAAACATATTTTTTTAACAAATACATACTGAAATACCTATGTTGTTTTGAAAATAATGATTTTTTTTTAATTTAAACATTTTGTGAACACTTAAAATGTTTGTAAACAATCTATTTCTGTAAAAAAATCAATTTTTCGAATATTTTTTTTTTTAATTCAATGAAAATAAATTTTCGAAAAATATTTTTTTTCATTCAATCGTGAACCACTCTACTGTAATATATTAACAATGGAGCAACTTGGTCTCTTAAACCGTACAGCCGTAAACGTAAGAAACGCTCTCACCCATTAAATTAGTAATGGGCGGATTGTTGAAATTGATTGGATTAAAGAAGAAAATATGTAAAGTGAAAACAAAGAAAATATCATAAAAGATGTAAAAAAAAAACGAATAAAAAAATAAAATTGCAATATTAACGGAAGTTAAGTATCCGGAAAAATATATAAAAAACTTTACTTTAATCAGTATTGTTGTTGGTATATATGTATGTAGGTAAGTATTTACATATAAAATTTATTGTTAGTTTGTTTGTGTAAATACGAGAAAATTTCTCTTTAGTATTCTCTTTTGCAAACAAGATAAACAGTAAATAGAGCGCCAAACTACATGTTTGTATTTTAACGAGGGCTTAGCTCAAGTCGATTCAATGATCTTGGCCCAAGTTTGTTGTTAATCAGTCAGTAGTGAGTGGAGGAGCATCGTTTGTACATTGTATTTAAAAACGATCACGCATTGTGTGGAAAACCATTCTTTCTTCTTACTTGTACTTCATGGCTATGCAGCAGAATAGTCAACAGCAGCAGCAACAACAACATCAAACACAAAGAGCTTCCGCACAATCAACATCAGCTGCTGCTGGTGCAGTGGCAACAACACATTTTACCAATACTGCTAAATTACCAATAGAAACAGTTAAGTTGTTGATTGGATCAGTATCACGTAGACCCAATCTATGGATTCGGACTAATAATGGTCAAAAAAGATCCGATATAAATGCATTGTGGCAACAAGTTAGTCAAGAGGTTCATCTGCCAGGTGAGTAAAATCGCACTACTTTGTTATATGAATACATGTATGTACATATATACATATGTATGTATATATTTATGAATGATTACATACATACTAATGTAAAGGGGAATTTCCTTATTTTTCGCTCTTAAATAGTACGGGAATTTAAGTGTTTGTTTAATGTAGTGAGTTCTCTAACATGGTTGTATTTATATGATACAAAATTAATCTATTAAGAGCCAGTTTTAAACATAAAGTTTATTTATTAATAGTATTCTTTTTCTTTTAATTTTTCCTTAATACTTACTACACATACCTAAGCTTGCTTATTTTTTTATAAATATCCATTGGAAATATTGAAAAAATTGAACTCGTATTCAAAAATTATTAAAATTATATTCGATTTCTGTGTTTTAAGATTAAGTAATCCGATTATTAGCATTTAATCTGTTACTTCAAAACTGATTCTAAATAACGGTTAATTGTTACTAAATAATTTATTTATTTTATCAAGTTACTTTTTCATAATCATGTTTACTATTTAAATCTTGTTTATATAGCTGATATTTGTCGAATTAAATGGGGCCATTTGCGTGATAATTTTCGGAAAGTGTTCATACGAAATACCATTTCAGCTGAACCTCCTACAACATGGCGTTTCTATAATGATATGCGCTTTATGGAAGCTGCCGTAGCTGAAAATGTTATGCGCCATCATAGACTACGTGAACAATCACTTTACTGGCAGGGACTACACGGTGCCGCAGAACCACGTCACAGCAACTCAACTTCATTAGCAACAACTCTTAATGATAATAGCGAACGATCTCTAGAAAATCAATTCAATTTCTCCGAAATATCAGCATTCTTTCAAAATCACGGTCACAACAAACGTATTAAATTAGAAACCTCGGAATCGGATACATCATTACATGATTTGACACATGTTACGCCACCAATAAAATCTTTTTATCAAAATAGTAATGCTTATGAAAAATCAAATAATCATACACATCATCTGAATGAAGTCCAAATCCATAATGATGTTGATGAAAACAACATTGAGGACGACGATGATGATGACCAGTTTGATGAAGATGCTACTTCCATAGAGGACAATTATCAAATGTCTATGAGAAATGAAAAGTTCTCAATTGATAACAATTCGAAGATAAATGTACAAAATTGCAATTTATCTAAAAAGGAAACTAAAGAAGAGGAAATTTGTAGACACCATGATGAGCAGGATTCAGATCGTATGTTTCTATTGAGTTTGCTACCATATTTACGAAAAGTGAAAGAACAGAGGAAACTTCAAGTTCGACAGAAGCTGCAGGATGTTTTAATACAAGAATTTGGTTGAAGGCAACTATACCCGGTTAGGGGTAAAACAGTGGTACTACAAATTACCGGAATTTTATAAATTATTTTGTCCTTACGTCAATGCAGTAACGACGTTAATGGAAACAATTTAAAATCCTTCTTCGAAGGATATTTCTTCACATGCTTTTAAAATTTATATTATATATAATAAGATATAATGAAACATTAGTTTATATGATAATATAAGTTATAAATTATTGTTTTTAAAAAAAATATGCAGCTAAAAGATATTAACTATAAAAGCAAACTGTATGTTTATGTATACATACATACTATAATGAGCTGCATCCTATATGGAAAATTTTTCTAAATTTTCAAAAATGGTCTAAATTCTCTAATAAAAATTATTAACATACATATTAATAATTATCAATTTTTATTTGTATACATTTATTTATTTAAATTAACAAAAGGCCAATATCATAATTAAATGCAGAAAAAAGAAAACAACGATTATTTATTATTAATGGTTCTGCCAAAACATTGGAAACTTTTGAACTTTTACAGGAACAAATTTTGATAATTTTGTAAAATTTCTTTTTGGAATTTTTTAGCAAAATTAATTTTTTATATCATCAATCAAAATGTCTAGAGCTAAGATTTTAAAACCAAAAATAATTTACGATTTTAATAGTCGTTTCAATATTTTACTTAATATTTGTTGATCTGTGATAAATATTTAATAAAGATATCAACACTTTTCTTATTTGGAAGTATCCAAATTCAATTTTAGGAGACGTTTGTAAGGCGACCAAAGGGGAATAAATATATCAATACTTTTCTTATTTGGACGTATCCAAATTCAATTTTAGAGGACGTTTGTAAGGCGACCAAAGGGGAAAAATACTGGGCCCCAAGAATGCAGAGGAAACTAGGGCCATAGTTTGGAGACAACGACCCTAAAAGCTAACATTTGAGTTGTAATCGAGTGAATAGTCTCTAAAGTGATACGTGTATTGAAGTGGGTGACTATATACCAGATCGCAAGCCCATAGAAAATCTATGGGAAACAGTCCATATGGACTCAAAATTACCCCTGTATGCGGTCATAGGGAATAGCAAAATTGTTCGAAGGAAATTATTGACTCAATTGTTGTTTCAATGCATGGCCGATGTTAAGCAGTAATACAAAGTAAGGATACCTATATAGAAATGAAATACTAAAAAAATAAACAAATTTTAATACATTTTTGTGTTTTTGAGTCCTTTTGTGAAAATTTAGAAAAAGTTTCCATTGTTTTGTTGTCCATTGTACATACATACTATGTATGTATGTAAATATCCATCAGTTCACAACATTGTTAATAATAGTTATGTTTCCTTTTTACCAATTTCTCAGCATGAGATTGTTCTAGGACATTATATGTAAGTTCTTCTTTTAGTATATGCTTGGATTATGAGGAATCTGAAGTACACCTGCATTTTCATTCAGGTAGCGGATTAAAAATTATATTTTGCAATTTTTAGGTTTAATTTTTAGCACTGTACAAGTACTGAAACTTTGTAAAAACAATGAGAAATTTGTATTTATTGACGAATTCCTTTTTAGATTTTAAACAATAGCCATTGAAACTATATTAACACCATCATACGGTATCCTATTGTTAAAAAGCCATATCCAAGTGAAATATGTTGGCTCAGCTTGTCAAAAGATTAACATTAAGAACTTATTTCTAAAAATTCTAATATAATTTGAATTTTTTTCTTTCTATTTACATTACATTATTATGAATTGTTTCATTCCATACATTCATTTCCAACCTTCCACTAAAAACCGTAATGTGGATTTTAACTTTGTTTTGGGTACAATTTTTCGAAGATTTAAATAAAAATTCAATAATTAAAATTTTAATTATTAACATATACATAAATCCTAATAATAAAGATCAAATAGGTATAAAATGAAAATTCGCCCGATGTACCTTTGTACCAATGTCTGCTTATTTTTTTATCATAACAATATATGTATGTATGTATGTATGTAGTATATGTACATCTACATTGCGTCACCTAAAACGCAAACGGCCCTGCCCTATCTAACATTTTTTTAAATTTTACAGGAGAAGCAAAAAACTATTTAAATTGAAAAGTTTGTTTCTATCACCGTGATTTATTTGTGGCAAATAAACAAATTTTTTAATAGTGAAACCTTTTAGTTGTTATGATAGTTGGTAATGGCGTATACCTATAAAAATGGATAAATTGGACTTTTTACCTTTAATATTTAAATGTTTTTATAGATGGGGCCGTTTGTTTTTCGTCAATAAAATTGCTTATTTTGATCGTATGAGTCCATTTTTTTGTGTGGAAATTTGTTTTGATGCAATATTCAACAATAAAATCAATTTTGAATTGTTTGGTTAGTTAGGGCCGTTTGCGTTTCAGGTGACGATATAAATATATTGAGAGTTTGTATACAATAAACGATAAACCCGAATCTGAATGTTAAAAGTTCAATATAATAGATTAAATTTTGGTCAAATTCTTTCGCAATTTCAACTTTCTATGGGTATGTCCTTCTGAGTTTTTTCCACATATTATAATATGTATTGTTTTTGGGGCCTTTTCTCGTTGGACAGTTCATCCATTTTCAATACCAAATGGTCGCATAACAGTAACTCTGGTTATGGTACGTTTAGTATCCAATTTATGGTACTAAATGGAAATTCTATAATCTGACTAATATGAAGAGAATATATTATTATAGCTTCTTATATTCTCTTGTTTTAAAGAGTAATTTTAAGGTAAAATTTTAATAAACAGTAACGAAATTAACTTAATTTTGCTATATTACAGTAGCTTCTAGACTTTGTCAACATAAATTAAGCTTTTATGAATTTACTTTGAAAATGGTTAGTGCAATGATACTGACATACATATACTAAAATCAGGTTTAATAGGTATATACATACATATGTATGTATATAAATAGTTAGATTTGATATGTTCCAATATTTGTGTTAAAATTAATTTTTCGAAAATCGTTTGATATTAATAACACCCTTTCCAATATGGGATGTACTTCGATTTAATGTACTTGTTCAATTTGTTTCGAAATGTGTTCCACTTTCAACATTGACGGCAAAAACCACCACCATTTCAATATTAACAACAACCACTTCTCGTAACTAACACAAATACTGAAATCATCCCCTTGATTTATTTTACAAACAGAAAAAAAAAACAAATTACTATTTTATATAAAAGCAAAATATGTAGAATAAATAACAGAAAAAACTCACTCCACTGTTAAGGGTTACTCATTTTATTCCACTTTGAATTTAGTTACAAAACATAATCCAACAAAAGAGGTGGCCACAAGACAAAGATAGGAAAAACAATTTAATAATAGGAATTTAAAAAATCAAGAAAAACAGTGGTTAGATAAAATTTATTAAATGAAGAAATGTTTAAAAATAACAATAATAAAAAAGAAAATTAAAAAATACTGCAATGGAAAGAACAAAACATAATTAAATAACATTGAATAGAAAGAAAATCCCCAATAACAGTTGTATGTTTAAGAGTATTGTTGTGTTTTTTAAGAGAAATTTGAGCTCTCTTTGGCAAAAGTCTACCAGACCCAAATGTTTGGGAAATTAAAAAATCGAAAACATTGAGCGAGCATATTTAGAGTGTGTCATTGCTGCACTCGAAATACATCCAATCCAACTCTGCCGTCAGTGGTGTATGTCAGCAGTGTGCTCGCTGGTTGGTGTACATAAACATATACTTTGTGAGATTCATCATAATCAGTCTGGAATCTTAAGTGACAGAAACAAAAACTAAATAAAAATATACTAACCGAAAAATACAAAACAATAATACAACAAACACACTAAAAAAGAAAAACATAGAAAAATGTACAATAATCAAGAAAAAAATAACAACAACAAAGAAAGATAAGAGATCCAAACTCAAAACTAAAAAATATTTACTTTCATCATACATTAAAAAAATTAAGAAACAACAAACTAACAAATAAAATTAAGGAAAAGTAAAATACATAAAATAATAAAAGATACAAAATCTAAAAAATACATACAAACAAACAAACAAATAAAAGTCAAATAAATATTCATGAATGTTTGTGAATAAAAAACTACTATTTTAGAAGAAAATTATTTTGTGATTAAAACGGTGTTAATAATAATAAAAATATTTTATTTTATATTTTATGAAAGAAAAGTCTTTTAAAGACACAAATCCTAGTATAAATATTACAGTAAATTTGTATTAAAACATCATCATCCAACAATTTAGATCAAGGCCATACATACATCCATCGTACACCTATAAAACACTTCATTTAGCTTCGTATGCCTGGGCCACAAATTGTAAGTACACTTTTTCTTTTTTCGTTTTATTTTTTTCTTTTTATTTCAATTTTATTTCTTATTAAAATCAACGTAGTGTGTAGAAAATTTTCTCTTCTTAAAAACAAAAATACTGTGTGTATGTACAAATGTATAAATAATATACATACCTACATTCATACAATACGAACAAACACACATCTAGAAGATGTAGTAGTTAGTACGAATTATATTTTTGTATGTATGAAGTTAGTACCTGTATCAAAATATGGAGTATCTTTTATATGAAAATAATTGTTTTCTTTCTTTAAAGTTATTGATTTATTTTAGAAAAAAATGAATTGTGTAGAACTCAAAATTACAAGAAAAATGTCGCCAAGAAAATATTGATTTTACTTGTTCCCCAATACAAATACTAAAATTAAACAGTCTCAAAAAGTATGTTTTTTTCGTATTACTTATTTTGTTTGTTGAACATCCCCTAAAACAACAACACAGACATTTACACATACATACAAACATCCTTTTTCTTCTTTTGATTATTATTTACCGAAACAAGTTTAAGATTCAGAACCTTAAATGTATTAAAACATATTACATTAAGAAAATCCTGAAGGGGCGTATTCATATTATGACTAGTATTAAAAAAAGTTTGTTTACATTAGCACTTAGCTGTCGTGCCCAGCAAAAACTTACATTGATCAGTAAGGAGTTAAAACACTTATTCGTTCGCATTTTAACTCATTATTTTAACTCGATGATGACATTGGAGGTAAATACTTACTACGCTCGCTTACAAATAAGTACTAACAAATAGGGAGTTATTTTGCAAATATAATGGCAAAACTCAAAATGAAGTACTTGCGTATCTGATAATATGTAATATTATATGAGTACTTAAAAGTAATGCAGACGGTATGTAGTTACTGCTAAAATACATTTTCAACATACCAATACCGAAATAAGCCAAAATATCGTTACCGCTAAAATACCAATACCGTTACTTTTTTAATAGTTTTAGAATTAGTTTTATTATAAAATTTTATGTCATTTAGATTAGCGAGAAACAAATGTTTTAATTTTTTTGATTGATTTGATTAATTCTCACTCTGAACTACTATTGCCAGTTAACTCACATATTTGTAATGCGCTTTGACATGTTGCTTTTTTTGTTGATATTTCAAAAATTACAAAAAAAATAAAAATTAAACATTATTTTTACAAATATGCTGGATAAGAATTATTCATTCGGAACACATAAGGTAATCTGTATTACGTACGAATGAGATCAATCGCACTTAAAATTTTGTATGGCCAATCATTCAGTTGGAAATGGTATTTAAATTATATTAGAACAAAATATTGCAATTTCTAGGATTTCGCATTTAATAAAAATGCGGAATCTCATTGTCGAGATTTTTTTTGCAAAATTAAGTCTTGTTTTGAGATATGTATGTATCTTATTCTCAAGTCGGAAAATGAATGCATTACTTTTAATTCTGTACAGTAGTCATGATAATGCGAGTAAAGAAAAAGAAACAGCATACAAAAATGAAAAGGAGGAGGAGAAGAATAACAAATTAGAAACAACATAAAACAGAAGGACTTTATTTTGTGTTTCTCTATAGTATCAATTTAACTTGAAAATCTTGTTAAACCGACGACGATGTATGTTAAATGTTGATATTCACAAAGTTGACGCCGTTTATCCGTTTTTTCGTTTGTCTGTAATTTCTAGAATATACATACATATGTAGATACAATGCGAACTTGCATACATCCTATGTAACGTACACGCACCAGGTATGGGAAATTCAATATTGTTGCACTTTTCAGTTAATTTCTTGTTCTCAATATCTTTAATATTAAAATTATTTTATCGTGGAAAAGAAAATAAAACTGCAATTTCTAAACGATTGGATGTAATTTATATGCCTAGAATAACTATGTATGTATGTCACCTAGGGAAAATATAAATTTTACAACGCTTTCAATTTTACGGTATATCTCTGCAAAATTGATTCCACTCCACAAACCTGTGCAAAGAGTACTCCTCAAAAGACTAGTTAGTACTGGTTCAAAATTAATCCAAATATACATACAAAAACATTACAAGATCCGCAACATGGTAATATGTAATGCAGGATATGGACTATGTTGTTTTCAAAAAATAAACATGGTCCATGGCTGCATTACATAGGATTACTAAACGGGTCATGTACTCCAATAATCTTTACAGGGGAGTAGTTTTGGGATTATCTAAATGTATTCCAATAATTTTTGTAGGATAATATCTTTAAATATACATACTTACGTATTGCTTATTTACTAAAAGGTTGGCGTAATCCTAAATCCTAAAGTCGTTTCGATAAAAATGTCTTTGAATTGTTAATAATAGTTTACTTTTTTTAAATTACATTTCAACATGAAACCAGATTCAGATAGTAGGGGTTAATATGTTTCTCATATAAATTGAAATTTAATTATTATTTAGGTATCTAATAGTCGTGATAACATGTGTTTAAGTTTTTACAAGAAAAAATTGTTTTCATACCTAAGATAATATGTCTGTTCCCGTACTCGTAAGTTTTGCAGGTTTTTAGTCCAGAATAGTCAGTTCATCAGTAATCAGAAAAACAAAAAATACATTAAAATTTTAGTACATGAACGACTTATTGAAAGAACTTGCAATCCAGAAATTTGGAAAATCTATATGAAAGTCTTTAGTGCGACGAATGTTTTGTTGTCCTCAGTTCAAAAAAATCCGAATTTGGATTATGCCAGTCTTGTGGAAAATTATCGATAGGTAAATATCTTCTAAATATTGTTTTCGTAGTTAGAATGCGACTGGGTATAACGTAGCGATAGGACTAATTTTGCTCTCACGAATGACACGGATAATATTAACCGTAAGTGTGTGGATTCTTTCCGGATTATTGGCGTATTAGTCGCGTAACTTTGTTTTGTAATGTCAAACCGCAATAAAAAGTCTTAAGATAACAACATGCAGTTACCGAAGGTTATCCATATTTAATATCCATTTCAGCCCTTTTTATGTGTTCAAGTAGTTGCAGTACTCTTACGGTACTTATCGAACTGCTTTAGGGACAATTTATGCTGAGAATTTAAAAGAATATTTTGAAAAGTTATGGAAATGTTGAAATTATGACCAAAACTTCATGCAAAAGAAATCTAAGTATTTTTTGTACTGTATAGATGCAGTCTAAGGACTCTAATAATGGTTTTAAAGGGCCCTTATTCTATTAGGGCCTTTATTAGCAAATTCTGCAGGCTATGCGAAGATGTTGAGAAACTAGGGACAATTGAGCTTATAATGTCTTATTGTTCTAGATTACAGGATCATAAGGTTAGAAATGGCAAGGAAATAGATTACACGACGAACTGTGTAATGTTTCTGGGTGCAATCTATTAGGTTTTATCAAGTGAATTAACAGTGAAGATTCTGATCCTCTGTCTGTCACCTTACTTTCTTGATCTGAATCTGATTATGTTCTATCTTATTATATTTACAATTCTGCGATCTTCTTAAATAAAGAACCATGATTATTTGGTAAAGGGTGTTTCAAAAAGAACTTATTACTCGAAACAAAATAGATTCTTGTTAAAAACACCGATACCATTTAAAAGTTTCAATTTTCCATGTCTGTAATGATTTTATTTCTCTTCAACATGTTCTTTTATTACATACATATTTATGTTACATATGTATGTAAGTATGTATTGTATTTTTTTTAGACCAAAATTCATTTCAATTACCACATTTGGGACAAAAATCTTCAAGTCTGGCAACAACGTCTACAACTTAAATCCAGTCAAATAAGTGTGAAGACGTGAAAAAATATACTCACGGTGCGTGTTTTTTTTCCTAACTTTAGTGTAGGGTGAGTTTATAGTAAATGCGAAATGAAGTACTATGTATGTGTGTAAAAAAGTTTGGGGATGATTCTTGTACTTTTATTTTTACTCCCCAATTGCACTACTTTTTCTTAAAGCAAAATATACAAATACAACGTACATATGAATGTATGTATGTAAGTATGTTTGTGTATGTCTGTTTATAAATATAAAACAAGGTAATAAAACGAAAAACAATCCTTATTTTTTGTTATTTTGTATGTATCTATGTTGTGCGTATTTATAAGATGCAACATTATTATGTTTTTATTTTTTTCTGCGTTCGTGTGTGTGTTTTCTGTCTCATATTTCTGTATTTGGTATACAGAAATTGCGTTCTTTATTTAAGGTGGAGTAAGGGAGGGAAAAGAACTTTGTAAAGGATAATAATTTGGCTTTTTGTGTATTTGATATTTAAAGATACATACAAATAGATGTTTGGATGAATATACAATGTATGTACTTTTTGTTTTGGTTCTACCTTCTTTGGTAGGCAGGTAAATTGAAATAATTTATATAACATTGCATACTTTAAGGCATTTCAAAATATACATTGATAAATTAAAAATTGAATTTTAGTATTTTACAAAAACTATCTATCTATACCTTTATACAGAAATAAATAAACGTATTAAAATAATTAAAATTGTATTTTTTCCCTTTAATTTTAATAGTTTTCAATTATTTTGTTCTTAAAAATTTTAACTAAATTATTTATTTATAAAATTTATAGTCATAATGAATTATGAATACAAAAAAATTGTTTTACATACATAGGTCCTAACAACTATGGCTTTTGACTAAATTATTTATTATGTAATAATGTTGCAATATTTTTAATGCTGTTGCTAAATTGCGCCATTCGATGTCAATCGAAATGTTCAAATAATAATGTCACTAATGTGAAAATAATTTCTAAATTATGAACATTTTAAGAATATTGTTCTAATTTTCCTTCAATCGATAAGTATTGAAGTAATGAATATGGAAATCTGTCGACTTTCAAATAAAGTTTAAAGCTATATTATAGTTTCTTCCTTTTTGGATAAATTTTGATTCCAGATTCAGCGTTAGAAAAGTATATCTTGGACCTTGCGTTTCGTCTTTTGAAAAATGTCATCTATATCGAAGATTAATAAATTTCTTCAGTATATAATTATTTAAACAGTACCCAGAAATAAATTTGGTTTTGAATGAAGATTTTACAAAATTTATATTTATTCATTCAATGATCTAATCTAAAACTCTAAAAATAGTTCGTTTTAAACGTGACAACTGACAAATTAATAGCGTGAAACATAAAATATTCCACGAAATGTTTAATCTAAATAAGGTTTTATTTATATTTATGCTTATTTAAAGTAAATCTTCAAATTTCTTTATTTGAATTCCGAGTTTTAATAACGTACTGAGTATATTAATGGGGTGGCCTTGCTTGAAGAAACGTTTGGGGTGGTTGGTTCAATTCACGAATATATAGTTCAATAATGATTTTCTCCCCTCCTATTTTTTCACGAAAGGAAAAGCGCATCGATATCTTACAAGATTTATAATGTATGTAAGTTAATGACTTTTTACACTTAATTAACTATAGAAATATTTTTAGAATATTTCTATAATTGACGGTAAATAAATATCAATTCTCATCACCAACCCCAGCCTGAGGAAATGCAATTCTAGGAAATATTACAATCCACGTACCAATTATAGATATACATTTATTTATTTATTAGTAGCAGATGTTTATAGTTTTTGAGAAATCGGTGACAACTGTTTAAAAATTGGAAACAAAGGACTACTGTTTGTAATTTATTATAAAATTTTGTTTTTGAAAAAGTAATTAGAATTTTCCATGTAGGTTAGAAATAGAAATGTTATAATACGATTCCTTTAATTATAATCTAAAAAAAATACTCAATAAAATAGTAATGAATTTAAATGTGATATTTAGCTTTTTATCACAACAAACTTATCGACATTAAATCATATGAAATCGCTTTAAGAAACTTCATGAAAATTGAATAACAAACCTAAACTTATATTATTTTTTATTAAAAACTGCCTTTAACTACTTTGAAATCTCTTAAAGCATTTTCCATATTCTAAATATCGTTAAGATTTTCTTTGAACTCTTGCAATTAGTAACGGATAGATTGAGAGTTGTTGTAAATCATTTACAAAATAAATTCCATGGATTACAAAATTTGTATTAAATGTCAGGAAAAATGCATACATACACATACATTGTGTATAATGACCTGCTGATCGATCTATCAAAGCATCCTGTAGAATTTTAAAGGAAAAAACCAATATGACACACATCTGCCCCGCTAAGGATAATGAATAGTAAAAGTGTAGCCATAAAAATTGTAATATTTATTGGTGTTGTTGTTGTGTATGGTTATGGGTTTTTCTTCTAGTTAGGGACAAAAGAAGGATCTTCTTTTATTCTACCTATACACATGCAACCAACAGTAATGCACACACAAAAACACAAACACAGAGACATTGCATTCGAATGCATACAAAATAGTCTAGGAGGATGTGTAAAATGTACGTGCATGCCTGCTCATTAATATGAGTTTGAGTACCTACTAAGATTAAAAGAAAGAACGAAGGAAAGAAAGAATTAGGGTCTTAAAGACGCAGCTTCTATAATTGTGTTGCAGCAGTACTTAAGCAGCAGTACTGAGTGTTTTTGATTTAGTTGCGCTTGGTAACATCTGGCGGTATCATCACCATCCTCTCCTCAATCGTTCAACGCGTGCGTTCTAAACGCTTTAAAAAATAACAAACAACCTCAATTCTCACAAGAACTCTTATTTACAATTTATTTTTAAGGAGTTTTACTCTTATATTTACGTTAAAATAAGTGTTTTTAAGTTTAACTTTTAATCTTTGCAAAGTTTTTAAAACAATTCGCTCGCTACGTAAAATCGACTCGAATATCGTTTTTTTGCATACACAACCCTTAAGGCTTCATACATACAAATAATAATATTGACAGCAAGTTACTACTCCAGTTTTCTTGAGCTACATTCTACATACAAACGTATTTTTGAAGACAGGGAAAGAAGAAAGAAAAAAACTGTGCAAAAACATAATAAATATTTTTATTTTTTTGTTTGTTTTTACTACACCAAGTGTAACGTTATTTATTGCGGCTTAATTTTGACCGTCAATAGTGCCGTATTTTCATTTAAACGGTTATCGATTATTTTATGATGGAACTGTTGTCTAACAACTCCTCGTTATCAGCACAAATGGCATCGGCAGCTGGCAATAATGCAGCATCGAATGGCAATCCCAATAACGGCGCTACCACCGCCGAGCGACTATTAGCAGGTATTTTGGACTCATTTCCTGCTTGGGACATTGGCAGCGGCATGATGAACAACGATGTTCGAAATGAGTAAGTATCTACAGGGATTTGAGTTTTGATTTTGAAAAAATATAACAAAATTTTCATTACAGTTCACCACCTCGTAATGATTTCTTTTTCAACAACTTCCTTTCGTCATTGGAAACACCACAAGAGTTTAGCATTGGTGTAGCACCCATAGGCAGTGGCATGAGAGCACCCAAAATGTCTCCGGAATCGTCGAATAACTCGAGTATTAGTTGCAGTTGGTGTGAAGTTAATGCTTCGATTCGCTGCTTGGAATGCAATGAGTTCATGTGCAATGATTGTTTAAGAGAACATCGCAAATCACCATTATCCTCTAATCACTCCATTATCTCGTTGCCGACTCCGATTGGCACTTCACCCACCGGCGGTATGTCGACTAGCGTACCCAACATTCCTTGTCCCAACTATCTATGCGATCAACACAATGAGATGCTCCGTTATGTTTGCGAATACTGCAAAAAGTTGGTATGTCAATGTTGTACCCTACACGAGCACAAGGAGCACTGCTACTCCTCGATCCAAAGCTTTGTGGATGAATCCAGGGAAAAGATAGAAACAGCCTTGGAAAGTAGTCGCATGGGTACTAAATGTATTAAGAGTAGCATTGATAAGGCTTTGGCTTTCATACGTCACATCGAGAGAAATTGCGCTGAGTTAAGCGACAATATCCGCAAAGGCTTTCGTCAATTTCTCATTGCAATTGAAGATCGTGAACGTTTCCTTTTGGACTTTGTGGAGAAACTAAGACAGCGTCGTTTGGCCATGTTACATGATCAAATGGCTGGACTCAAATCAGCTTTAGCTGGTTTAGCCGAAACTTCCGACATGTTGCACAAAGTAGCCGAAAACGGTGGCCGTATGGATCACGTCGATATTGCCATGAAAGTGACAAATGGTCAAAGACAACTTGAACAGTTTGCAGCTATTTACAAAGACTTACAGCCCAAACAAGAAGTATTTGCTTTTGCTGCTCCCGATTACTCTTTATTGCAAGATATACGTAACCAAGGCGGCATTGTTTTGGTGGATGAGAAAAATATGCCCCTTATGAATATCAGCGGAGGTACCATTGTGGGTGGTAGTGCCGCTGTAGAGTCGGTGGGCACCGTATTATCAATGGCTGGAAATGGTTTATCAAATGGCGTAGTTCCCGCTAACATGAGACGTCCACTTCTGAGAGACAATTCTTTCCGTAATCCTTCGCCGGTGATGCAAGTAAGAGGCGGTAGTGCTTGTAGTATGCCTAATCCTGGTTTGGATTGGGAACTTAGTGTAATGCGCAGTTCGCCTGGTCTACACTTTGGTGCTCCTCGTTCAACACCCGCTATACCTGGTACTACAGAACCCGTCAAGGCCCGAAACTCGAATGCTTTATCTCTCTCGTTTGCTACAGAAGGCCACGAAGATGGGCAAGTTAGCCGCCCGTGGGGCTTGTGTGTAGACAAACTCGGACACATTTTGGTCTCCGATAGACGCAACAATCGTGTTCAAGTTTTCAATCCTGATGGCTCTCTTAAATTCAAGTTCGGTCGCAAAGGTGTCGGTAATGGAGAATTCGATCTTCCCGCCGGTATTTGTGTAGATATTGATAATCGCATTATAGTCGTGGACAAGGATAACCATCGTGTGCAGATCTTTACATCTTCGGGTGTATTCCTACTGAAATTTGGCAGTTACGGCAAGGAATATGGTCAATTCCAATATCCTTGGGATGTGGCCGTAAACTCAAGACGTCAAATTGTCGTAACCGATTCACGCAATCATCGTATACAACAATTCGACTCAGAAGGTAGATTTATACGTCAAATTGTATTTGATAATCATGGTTCCAATAAGGGCATAGCCTCGCCGCGTGGTGTGTGCTACACACCCACCGGTAATATTATAGTATCCGATTTTGACAATCATTGTTTGTACCTGATAGATCCTGATATAAATGAGGTAAGTTTTTAGTAACTAAAACAAAGAATGAAATGTTATAATCAAATGTTCTTTTAATTGTAGATTTTATCAGCCAAGGGTCACGAAGGTTCTGGTTTCCAGGAATTTAATCGCCCTTCAGGTATATGCTGCGACGATGATGGTCGCATTATAGTTGCTGATTCCAAGAATCAACGTATTGTAGTATATAGTCCTACACTGGATTATTTATGGGATGTAAGTAGTTTCAGCTTAATTTTGTGATTAAAGAAATTGTTTATTAATTGTGTTTTTTTTCCTCTCTCTCTATTTTTGTATTTGCAGATTGAAATAAGACCTTCTTTGAATCCCTTAATGCCTCCTACTTTGGATGAAAAAGATCGTACTTGTGATGTGGCCTTAATGCCAGACGGTCGAATTGTATTCCTTATTGAATTATCTCCCGACTCTAAAGAGGGATCTAATCCCTACAAACGTTTTGTACATGTCTTCTAACGTTCAACATATCCGTCATTGGGATGGATAAATAATACTACAAATACCACTGCTGCTGTGGACACCAACTCAACGGCGGCAGTAGTGGCGGCAACAATATCATCAGCGGCATACACTTTTCATGGGTAACAATCCAAACAACATAGAAAATTAGAAAATTCATCGATCCTCAAAAACAGATGATTGATTCAAAAACAAAAAGAAACTTTTTATTAGTATTTAAGTTACAACGATTACCTCGTTCATATATTATTTAGGGATCAGTTATAGTATGAATCATACATTCAGATATAGTTAAACAAAAAACACTCCATTACTAAATACTTTAACTCCAAACCATAAAGAACAAAAACCTAATACATGACCATCTCATTTTTAAACTCACATCACATATTGCACTCATTATAATTATTGTCGTTACGTTGTGCTAAACGTAACTCAATGACGACCGATAGCGACGAATTCGCCACAATTTGAAATCGTTATTTCTTACATAAATTATATTCGTGTTTGGTTTATTCATTTCATCCATAAATTCATTTATACATCTATACGTGTATTGTAATATTTTTTTAGTTTATTAATCCAAGATTAATTTCATTTATAAATAGACTGATAATGATAAAAACAAAGTTAAAAACTCAATTTCAAACAGACTTTAAAAAGAATGTTATTAAAAGTTCAACCGATAAAATACACCGTTATTAAACAAACAACTTACTTACTTACTTACTTACTTACTTACTAAATAGCTTAAAAGCTAAAAAACAAAAAAGAAAACAAAAACACACATTAAAACAATAACTTTACACAGTAGATTATCATTTTATTTACCCAAAAACTGAAAAAAACTCTTTGCGTGAGACAAGAGATACAAAGTGAATAAAAATTGCTGTGAAAGTTAAATAATAGAGATTAATAACTAATTATAACTAAATATTTTCTTTTTTATATGTTTTCATTCTCATTCTTCTTTTACTCTATTACATACTTATTATACTTGTTGTGTTTGTGTTTTACATTATATTTTTTTTTACAAAATTGAGAGACTGAACTCAAGGAAATTATTTTCATATGATTTCATTTTATATTTTATTTAATTTACGAAACTTATTAATTTTATTTTTTTTAAGTAAGACTGATTACCAAAGTGACTACATAACACCGAGTAAAAACAAAATGACACACAAAAAATAATTAAATTATAACAAAACAAAAACAAATACTTACAATATATGAAAATATTATAAAATAAAATACAAAAAATAACCCTAAATACTAAGCAACAGCTAGAACTAAACTAAATGAGATGAAAAAAAAAAATAATTAAATTTAATGCAAATTAACTATTAATTGAAAACTAAATTTTCAAAGAAAAAATTTATATTAAATGTGTTCATTAGTATTATATATAATATAAATAAAACAAAAACAAACAAATTATTAGATAATTTTAAAACAAAACAACTAAAAAAATATTATAATTATTATAATTCAATAAATAAATTAATAAAAATAAGAGCAATAAGGCAAAATACTAAGGCATTTCATAAATAAAACTAGGATGGAAAAGAATGAGTCAGTTTAAATAACAAAATATAACGTGGTTTATAAACATAAACTATAAATATGAATACTAGACTGCTGCCAAGAAATTTATAATTAAAATATAATTCAAAGAGAATCAAAATAACATATAAAAAGATCAAAACATTTCCCAATTTCCAATTATTTATAGCAGCTATGCATAAACCTAACCTAACATTTTTAAATTGGAGCAGTCTTTTTGAACTTCTCTTTGATGTTTATATTACACTAAATTTCTCTTTATTAAATTGGAAATTTTCAAAATTAGTTCTTTTTGCAAGAAACAAACATTGATGGGATGAAACCATTATTTAAATAACTTAAAGGATGAGAGAGGCAAAGAAAGTTCATAACAAATAAGCAATAAAACTTAAAAGTAAACAAAACATCATCGACATTTTTATATCACAAGAATATTATTCTAAACAATTAAATACTTTGCTAACAATTCTAATCATCTCTCTCTCCCTCTGGCCCATCCAAACTCATTTACATTTTTTTTTTTTTTTCAAAATTTGCATTGTAAAGAAACCAGGTTTAATTAAAGCCATGAAATTTCAAGCTTAGGGTTCCTGGTGTTGCTAAATATTAGAAGAAAAAAAATTAAGAAAATTATAAATAATTTAAAAAACACAAACAACAAAATGTAGCTAAATATGAGTTCTTAACTCATTTAAATTTATTCTTTAATAAAATTATTTAAAATATTACAAAATCTAAGTGATTAGAAAAGTAGTTAAAAACATGCTTAAATGCATAATTAGCATAAATTATTAATTATAAATTAAACAAAAAAAAAAAAAAACGAAATATTTATATAAAAAATATTTAAAAAAAAATTCAAAACTATAAAAAATAACATACATATATATGTATGTAGTATATGTACTACATATAGACATATTGATCTTATACAAATATTTTGAGAAAGGAGTAAAAAAATATATATTGTAATTTAAGTCCTTCCACAAAACGAAGCAAGTTGCATTTAATGCGCCAACCAACCATTCTGAAAAAACTCTACGAGAGCGAATGTTGGTGTTGAATTTATTGAAAACAAAAACAAAAACTAAAACAACAAATATATTAACTAAGAAGTCTTAATATTTTTTATATCAACTACAAATATTTATACATGCAAAAATTTTATATAAATATTATTATTTTTAAATATTTTTTTTTTCGTTTTGTCATCAATATGCATGCTCAGGTATTTACACATACAGATTTTTTATTAATTTATTTCTTCTAATTATATATATTATATTTTTTGTGATTATTTTAAAAAATATTTTTCTTTTCATTTGGCATAATTTAACTTTAATAACATAAATTGATCTGATTGATAAATTAACTGAACTGTGGTGGTGTTGTTTTCGAAACTATTTAAGAAAAAAATACTTATTAAAAGTAACAATCTGTTCTGCCTGAAAGCTAGTTTTGTCATTAGGTAAACGTTAGTATATTTCTGTTTCTGGGTCTTCAATATAGAACCCCAGGAAAGCTTTGTCCCCCAATTAAAAGACGTCCTTATAGCAACGGATTTATTTATTAATTTAGTTTTGAGTATTTTTCGTATAAAAATATTAATATTGTTTTCCATTCGTGTTACTGAAATTCTCAATACTTGCCAGGATAATATTGTTTTATGTTTTTTTTTTTTCGGAAATTATTTTCAAAACACCAACACACAATATTGAAGAAACTAATACACAGTTCACTTACACATATGCATATGTTGTGTTTATATTATTATTAATTTTTTTTAGTTTTAAACAAATTTAGTTATACATATTATTTTTTTAAATTTTATTTTCTAATTTTTATTTTTTTAATTGCCATGCTTCTCTTGTTCTTTTTATACGCTTCACCAAAATACTTTATACAGACAAAGCACTAACAATTTCGAAATTTATGTTCTAATAAACATAACAACAAGATCCATTAGTCTGTTTTATGTGGAATACGTTTTCCACAGTGACCATTTAATTAATTAAAGAAAATGTTTAAAAGACAAATTTTGGTGAAGTTGTGTATTTGATTCGGCCCAGACGAATGTAATATTTTGATTTGTTTTGTTTTCATTTATAACACAGTATAGTTTAAATCTAATTTTTATTTGCCAAAGGCTATAAATCAAAAATAAATTTTAAAAATTTTGTTTAATTAAATTTATATATTTTTTTTAATTATACATATAGTTCATTTTTTAAATATCACACATAGTTTTTTATTTAAAGCCATAATGCTCATTTAAAAGTCAACTTAAAAAGCGCATATAAAACAAAATCATCCCTCATATTTTACTAGACTTAAGTTAAAAGTAATACACACCTACATATACATATATAGTATATAAATTAAAAAAATACAATTTGAAACCCTTCGTCTTAAAGTCGATGACGTTGAAAATCTAAAACTTTTTTTCAATAACATAAAACTAATCAATAGATCTTTAAAAAGAATTAAATAAAGTAATAAACATTTATACATTATGTATGTACTAAATATCAAAATAAAATTTTGAAAAAAAAAATACTTAAAAAATTTAAGTTAAAAAAAGTTTTTAAAAAATACCTACAAATATATATATAAATAATTTTAGTTTTTCTTTAATTATATTAAATATAATAAAAACAATTAACAAAACATTCTTTTACAATATAGTTCAATTTTTTTTTTGTAAAAAAAAACAAAATCATAAAAAATAATCACATAAATTTTTGAGTACAAAACATAAAAGTACAAATTAACCATTTAAGTTTGAAAAACAAATTAGTAAAAAGAAAACTTAAAAACAAAAACTGCAAATACTACAAGAAAAATAAAAACAGATTTTTGTCTTCAGAATTATTTTTTTGTTAAAGCAGTTTTACTTCTTAAAATAAAACGATAAGTTCATTAAATCAAATAAAATTAATTAAAAACATTCTTAGTAAAATTCTAAAACTACTTAAAGACTATTAAAATATATTAATAAAAAAAATATATAATATATAAACAAAAACAACAACAACAACAAAGAAAGTTTAAAACCTTTCATCAGGTGTTAAAATATTCTTATTAGAGGTTCTTATAAAATAAAGTAAACTCAAAAAACTTAAGCTTAAATTTATAAATAAAATACTACTATAGTATATATACAAACAAAAATAAAACATTAAAATATAAAAATATATAATTTTAATAAAAATAACTACATAAATACATTAATAATTACATACTACATACATATTTGGTAATTATACAAACATACATACATACTTAACTATAAGAAATTTTACATTGAATTGAATTGAATTGTGTGCTAATTCTATGTTATATTCATTTGTTCATTAAACAAAAAAAAAAACAAAAAAAAAAAAAAAAAAAAAAAAACAATACAGAATACATAATAATAATAAGAATAATACATAATAATAATAAGAATAATAAATAATAATATTAAAGAAAACCCCTTACATCATTCATTGAAACAATTGATAAATAAGTTTTTAAACATCTAAGTAGTTTTACACACTAATAGTTCATTTATTTACTCATCATAAATTGATTAAACTTGTTTGATTCATATGTAAATGTATCTATGTACTAACATTGAATTAAATTAATTAAAATAATATAATTAATTTAAAAACAAAAATACATAGAAATACATTCTAAATACACACTTTCTTCATACACATTTTTATTAATTATAAGACAAATTGTAATTGTAATAAAATTAATAAAAAACAACTTTCTATTGATTGATTTGTATTTGAAAAGAACAACAACAACAACAACTACCAGCAACTATTACATTCATTCATACATATATTTTATAATAAAAATAATAATAACAACAACAACATAATTGATAACATAATTTATAATAATATTATTATATATAAAAACATAATAATTTTATAAATGTTTAATAAATAAATTATACACTTGAAACGCAATTAATTATTCTTTTTTCTATAAAAACCATATTCTAGGTTATATGGAAAGACGGTTCCTTCCTAATTTGGGCCGTCTTGGTATTCCTCTGGTACTAAAGAGAATCATCCGGTAGTTATAACAAATTTCATTCGTTAGTGCCACATATTTGAGACAAGATCTCAACACCTGCCTTGTTGGCCTTATTTCACGGTGGTACTTTTTCAACCACTGGGTGAGCTGACTAGACGACTAACCACCGCCCCTTTGTGTATCTTGCACATGTTTACTCATGTACTCGAGCTATCTAATCTCTGACCATTGTTGTCCCGTTGCTTAACTGCCGAGATGCAAAAACATCATTTCCGTTTACAACTACACAGATGGGATGGCCTCTGTTGAGTCCGCAACAGCACCTAGAGACGTATTCGAAAACCGAAACACAAGGAAAATTCAATGGTATCACTTGTATAAGATAGCTTTCATATATCACCATTCAACCCAGCACACTCCTCATTCCTTCGACACACTCATAGTGCACAATATCCGACCACTCACTCTAGGTATATGGGCGAGTACGTTCCGTATACCCCTTCAATCATCCTCTATCATATATACTTAACACGAACTCATTTCTAACGCTTAGTCACAGCTCTGTGGGGTATCTATTGACTTCGGCTACAGCACCAAACTTATCTAGAATTATAGATTTTACCGTGCATCAGTCTTTTAATCGACATTCTCTTCCTTCGAATTTGGGTTTAAATCTCAGCTACCACGTGCACTCCGAAGGGACTTCTCCAATAACCAGGACAATACAAATTCTGTAACTCTGCCCTGCTGGTTATTGGTTCCCGTGGTTCGACCCCATGTCAAATCATTCCAAGGGAAGACCGAGGATACATTTGATCATCACCAGCTTATAGTCCCGGCAGACTAGATTCAATACGAATCGAAATTTTCTCCGTTTGGCAACTTTAGTATTCTGCATTTCGATTCGAAGATCCGTTACTAAAATGGCAATCGTAAAGCATTGAAATAAAATGGAATTTCTTATGATTCCGTTTTTTGTTGGAATACCTATTTTCGATCGTAGCGTAACTGAATGCGGAAACGTATTCAAAATTGAGAATAACACCAAGATGGGGTCTTTTATCAAGGTAATATGCCCTCGGGGGACATACTTTAGACAATTTAGATCATACAAGAGTCTCGTGGCAAGATATCTCAGTCTGCCCCCGGGGGGACATACAATTTATATCATAAAATAGTCTTGTGGCATTATAATGAAGAATGCCCCACATAAAACGTGTTTTACCGCTAACAGTCTAAACTTCTTTTGCTGCGTAGCTCATATGATCTGACATGCTCTCGTGTACCGTAATCAGAATGACGTCTCAGTTGGGACTGGGAGTGAATGCAATTGAGCAATGTCCGTCCTTCCATTCGTTGAAACATTTGATAAATTCCATTTAGATTTTGTAATCAAACTACAGGTCTCAATTTCGAAGATACTTACATTTGTTTCGTTTCAGCGAATAAGGCTTTGCAGCTCATAATTATGTTATATAATAGTAAATCTAGGGTTGAA